CCCGCTGTACCACCAGGGAGGGCCTAATTGTATATATTTTTTACATTGTTCTTTATTTTTGTACAATGTATGCTTTTTCATCTCGGTTTGTAGTCCCTGTGGACTTCCCACCACCACTTCACCCGGGTGCCATCCCCATCACCCTTGTATTCTTCTAAACCCTGTCTTGATCTTACTTCCCTTTCCTCTTCCCCTACAGAATGTCTCTGATTTATAGTTGTTTGTTGACTTTGATTTTTACTTTATTATAATTACTTTTGTTTTTTCCTAATCCCTTATATTCCTCCTAAAAGTAAAACCATTTGGTATTTTTCTTTTTCTGTCTGGCTTAATTCACTGATCATGATCCCTTCCAGCTCCATCCATGTTGCTGCAAATAGTATGCACTTATCTTTTTTGGTTGCTCAGTAATATTCCACTGGTTGGGAGAAAATTACTAATGATAAGGGACTGTTCATAAAGATCTACAAAGAGCTGATGAAACTCAGCAAAAACAAAGTGAACAATCCAATCAAAAAATGGGCAGAAGAGCGAAAAAGATATTTCTCCAAAGAGGAAATGCAGATGGCCAACAAGCATATGAAAAAATGTTCAACATCACTTGTAATAAGGGAGATGCAAATCAAAATCACAATGAGATACCATCTCACCCTAGTGAGAATTGCACATATTAAAGAAAACTAGCAACAACAAATGTTGACAAGGATGTGAAGATAAAGGAACTCTCTATGCTGCTGGTGGCAATGCAAACTGGCCCAAACACTATGGAAAGCTGTTTAGAGGTTTCTCAAACAGCTAGCTTCCATATGACCCAACAATTCCTCTCTTAGGTATCTACCCAGAGATCTTGAATCATGGCCACAAGGCCCAACATTTCTCCTTGTTCATTCTACCTGATCATCTTCAGAATTTAGCAGTTACTTAGTTGGAGGCAAGACAGGCAGTAGAAGCCAAGACAAAGTAGAGCGATGGACATGTGGGGTCCAGTAATAAGTTTTCCTTAAAGATGGAAGCTTAGGGCCCTCCCTGGTGGTGCAGTGAGTTAAAACACAGCACTAAGAAGCTAAAAGTCACTTCAGCACGAGTTCGATCCCTGCCCCAGAGTTGATCCACATGGCATGGCAGACCTCTCCTGACCTGCCCGCTGCACCCCTCAGCTCTGTACTTCATGGATCTGCCTGTTCTGCTCCCCACTCTGTCTCTAGTGAAGCCTCTCACCGCCCCTGCACCTCTGGCTTGTACCCCAGTTCTGTAAGCATAAATAAATAAATCTTAAAGGAAAAAAAAAGATGGAAGCTTAAAAACAGAATATAAATACATACAAATATACTGGTATTTTCATACATGTATGCAAGGTGAGCAAAGATGAGAGTGTTTTTCCCTAGTTTTATATTATTAAAAATAAGGAAAGGGGCCCTCCCTGGTGGCACAGCGGGTTAAAGCACTGCACTGAGAAGCCAAAGCCAGTTCCGCATGAGTTCGATTCCCGCCTGCCCCGGAGGAGATCCACATGGCGTGGCAGACCTCTCCTGACCGGCCTCTCCTCAGCAGTGTATTTCGTCGATCTGCCTGTTCTGCTCCCCACTCTCTCTCTGGTGAATCCTCTCACCCTTCACATCTCTGGCCTGTACCCCAGTTCTGTAGGAATAAATAAATAAATCTTTAAAAAAAAATAAGGAAAGGGAAGAGAGGAAGTTTCTAGATAATGTTATTAAATACATGCCTTTCTAATTATTCTCATTTGTAATGCTGTTTGCCCCAACTGTCATAACAAAGGTGTATAAAGTACTCATAAAATAATTCTGGGTGAGTTGCAGTACACATTCATAGTAGACATTCATTCATTCACATGTGCTTTTTATTTAAACAATCAATACTCTTAATAAAAGACTTGCATATGTGCTACTATTTTTTTAAGATTTATTTACTTATACATACAGAACTGGGGTACAGGCCAGAGGTGCAGGGGTGGTGAGAGGCTTTACCAGAGACAGAGTGGGGAGCAGAACAGGCAGATCCTGAAGTACACTGTTGAGGGGAGCAATGAGCGGGTCAGGAGAGGTCTGCCACGTCACGTGGATCACCTCTGGGGCAGGGATCGAACTATGCTGACGTGACTTTAGCTTCTTAGTGCTGTGCTTTAACCCACTGCACCGCCAGGGAGGGCCCATATATGCTACTTTTAATAAAACTCTTACATGTGTGCTGCAGACCAAAACACAAACAACAACAACAACAACAAAACAAAAAACCAGGGTATCCTGAAGGAAATGTCAGAGCTGTCTATCACAGATTTGGTGCCAAGTAGGAAAGGTACCTAATCTGGGGGTTCTTCCTTGAGAAAATGATCATTAAACTGCAGTCCAGGTCAGGAGCAAAACTCAGTCAGGATGGAAAAAGGGTGGAGAGAAGAGAATTCAAGAAGTTGAGGGAACAGCTTCTTCAGTAAGCCCTGTTAGACATGAGATTTTCCTAACAGCACTTTGGCTTTCCATTGGTTTCTAACCAGCCATGAGAAGGCCGGGCTTTATATTGGTATAACACTATTTGTACCTTTATCAAAAAAGTAAGTGCATTTGAAACTAGCAGGTATCCAGTGATGATTTGTGAATCCCACTATGTAAAATTCAGTAAAATGTTTTAAGAGTTATTTTGTCTTTATTTGTAGTTTCATTGAGTTTACTGATAAGCAGAAAAAGCGGGGAGGAGATACATACAGATGTGTATTTTTTAAAACATAATATTTATATAGCAGGGTCAGCCTGGGAAGCTGAATATTTCAGGGATTGCATTATTTCATGTTAATATAGAAATTTTTCTTGGAGTTTTTCAAAGAAAGGACAGAACTTTACCAAAATATTTTAAAAGAAATTGAATGATCAATCAATAATAAATTAAAACAGCATTCCTTAGCAGAAATTTATTCTTAAGGATGCAGCTAAAACAAAGTGCTAAAAAGACTTGTCACTGCGCTGTTATTCACTATTTAGAGGTTAGTGCTAGCTCAGAGTTTCTGACCTATGTAGGTGACCTAAGTAGGATCTTTAGAAGTCTGGAGAGTGATTTATTAAGACTCCTTATTCTAAAGATATTTTCTTAAATAATGCTGATATATGGCACTCAAGTTTATGAAAATAAACCATACATATTTATAAGCAATAATTAAGATTTCTGATGAGCTTGGTTCTAGGAAAATGGGATTATTGGTGTGTTGCACTTACATTTCCCATGCCATGCACATGCATTCTGCAGTCTCTTCCTCAGCCTCTGGAAATGTGCTCTTGCAGAGCAAAGACACCTGTAGTGGGGAAGTCAGCTGTATGTTGAGTACAGTTTCAGGCCCATTGTTCATCTTGCGGGCAGTGATTCTGCTGTTGGGGAATATTTGTGTTCTGTTTTCTTAGGTTAGCATTCCTTTTTTCCAAGGCAGCAGCTCACTGACTTCCCAAATTCCAGGCTGATTCCTAGGGAAGACGGTGGCGATGTGTGTGCAGCCCACCTGGGACACCTGGGCCTGGGGTTAGAGCAGGAGCTATTTGTACTTTGTGTACTCCTGTTGCTAAATATGTGTTCTTGGCACATCATTTCACAGTTTCCTAATCTGTAAAAAAGGATGTTAATAGCTTCAGTGGTGTGCTGGCAGGGCACCACCGGCCACCCCATCCTAGCCTTGTGCTCTTCTCTTCTGCTGTGAGTTCAGTGAGTCCCTGTGGATACCATGAAATTGACCATGCTGAGAGCTAATTCTGCAAGGCAGGTACTTTGTCTGGGAGAGGGGTGAGCAAGAAAAAGGAGCCAGTTGTTAAATGTCCACCCACACATCACTCAGACCTCAAGGTCTTGTGAAGATAATTAAGATAATACCTGGAATATGCTGAGTAGAGAAGAAAAGTACCTATAGGTGCTCCATCCCTTTATTCCTTTCCCCTTTCATTTCCTCTTTTCTTTTTCAAGATACGCTTTTATGATTTTTTCAGACCTGTTCACCAAGCTTTGATCTCTTGGTTGTTTGAGGGCATTTGTTACTTTATTACAATTTTAACACCGGAAAAAAGCATGTCAATCACCTAGACAAGACCTGGTTTTCTGAGAGAAAGGAATGCAAGCACAGAAAACTTGAGAGATTGATCCCTTCTTAGGCAAAACAAAAATCATCTAAAATGTTATCATTTTGAGCCAAGACCCCAGTTTAGGAATGCTGTACCATGCCAGCAGCCTGTGCTTATGTAATTACTTAGTGACACAAAAGAATCCTATTACATCAATACAAATAAATGAAAAATTTACCAAATAACTCCCTATTAAAAATTTTTTATTTGTAATTTATATGCACATATGTCATTATTTACAATAGCACATTTATGTTTGAATTTTTTTCAGTTACCATAAATCTGCATTTAAATCAACTTTAAACATTATGTTAATAAAATAATTTTTAGCTTTCAGAACGAGTTCTTGCTTGAAGAGAAAGACCAACTTGCTAACCACGGAAGAGTTGATACTAAGCTCTTAATTGTACTTCCTAAAGGTAAGAACTGTTGTAAATGCTTAACCAGTGTCCTGGGCATATAAGTATTGTAATAATCTGATTTTCTTTGAGGATAACTCTCTCACTCACCTCCAGCTTGCACTCTTCTTTGTGAGTATTCTCTATCTCAAACAATTGACCTTAATGGAAGTACCTCTTTTGCATTTTTTTAGCCTTGCCTTTTTGCATGGCTTTTCCTTTTCTCTTTAGGAATTCTTAAGTTTTCTCAGGGGCTCACTGGGGAGGATGAGAGATGGATGGAGAATCAACCTGACCTTCTTTCTCTCCTACCCTTCTCCTTTCCAAGAGCAGTGAGTGCTACTCATGACCAATCTTCTCTCACTCCTTCCAGCTTCCCAATGGTAGGTACCTCCCTTCTGGACCATACACACCAGCTGCAGACTATACCTTAATCTGCTCTCCTTCCACAAGAGGTGTTCATGTGTTCAATGACTTAGTGTTTTTATTGGCACAGATGCATATGCAGTAACATTTGCCTCTGCTATCTGCCAGCTACCTCTAGTTTGAATGTCAACATTTTCTGGCCTTTGCTCTACCAACCAGCACAAGGAATGATTATTTAGTACCAGCTCACAAAATGTATTCAACCTAAATGAACTGTGTAACCAGTACTTTCTTTTTTCTTTATTAATCTTTTTTCTTGCATTGTCGCAGTCCATATAGTTCTCCCACCACCATATTGCCCATGAGCCATGACGGTGTTCCCTGGTGCTCATCCCTCCTCTGGCTTGCCCCTTTCCTTCCCTTCTGTGCTGAGTGCCTCAGTTTTCTGTGGTCAGCTTCAGTCTCCACTTTTCCTTCATCTTATGTTTGGTTTCTCTCTATTCCACGTATAGGTGAGACCATCCGATATTTATCTTTTTCCTTCTGACTAATTTTGGCTAACATGATCCTTTTCAGCTCCATATTGTCACAAATGGCAAGGATGTATGAAAGGTTGCTAACAAGTGTCAGAGCAACTTACCCCTAAATTTCATCTCAATTCTCCCATATTCTTGGGGAATCAGGCAAGACAATGGCAGAGTAAGGATACCAGAACCACCTTCTCCATATGCTTAGAACTAGATTGCAGTAGAACAAAACCAAAAAGCAGCCCGCATACACCAGCACAAGGGAGCTGGGTAGGGAAAGCCTTAAGGGAGCCCTGTTTATAGTTCTACAGAGGCAGGACAACCTACAAGAGGGAGAAGTTAGAGCCCCCACAGTTTTTGGCTTGGCTGCGCACCAGTATCAGGGTCCCCTAGGACCTGACACTGCACTGGATAAGAGGATGTGGAAGTCGGCACCCAGTACAGGGGGGTGCACTGTCGGAGAACTGCCGGGCTGGAAGTCCAGAGTCAGGATTACCGGCTTGAGCCGACGGTCTCAATATAAAACAGCTGGTGCCTGGGGGGTGGGGAGGAATTAGAATCTCTTGCATCTCCTCAGTAACACAGCAACTACTCAAAGCAAGCAAGACTGAGATATTCAAAACACCTGCCAACCCCACCCCAGGACTACAACCCAAATAACAAAGAACATTTTGAGTATACTAGAACTCAGGTACCTGTTCATAACAAGAACAAACACCTCCGGATAAGACTGTGCTGGAAATGAAAATAGAACTGAAACCATGCAAAACCTGGGGGATGTCATGGTTTGTGGGTCCTCACCTGTGCACTGACAACTGCAAGATGTGACACAGACTCATTGCAACAACAACAGGGATTATTTTCAAAGGGGTTATTGGGGGAGGAAGAGAGAAAGGAGTTTCCAGGCAATTAGTGACCATTCATCCTACCCCAGATAGTGTCTGCAGTATCCAGGAGTCCAAACCGTCAGCTGCTTATGCACGGCAGGCCCTTTGGTAAGAGCCTGCAGCTGGAGCCACACCAATCAGTGGTGGATCAGGACCCAGCTCACGGTGGCAGCTTGAGGTGATCACAGGTGGTGATGCTGAAGGAGGCAGCACCAGCAGCCAGTGGCACCTGCTAGGGTCTGGTGGACCACACCAGAGGCAGCAGCAAAGTGGGTGATCCTGGCATGCTGGAGGCAGGAGTTGTTGACGGTCAGGCAGTGATGCCAGTGATGTAATTTGTGATAAAGCAGCTATGACCATACACTGGGAAAAGGACAGTCTCTAGTAAATGGTGCTGGAAAAATTGGAAAGTCACACTTAAAAGAAAGATCACTTACTAGCTCCATACACAAAAATAAACTCCCAGTGGATTAAAGATTTAGATATAACACCTGAAATAATAAAACATGTAGAAGAAAACATGGCGATATATTCCATGATATCGATGATAAAGATTTCTTTGGTGACTCAATCCCGATGGCAAGGAACCAAAACCAAAAATAAACCATTGGCATTACCTCAAATTTAAAACCATTTATACAGCAGAAGGAAATATGAGACACTTAAAAAGACCCCTTATTAAATGGGGGAAAATAATCACACACTATGTAAGTAGCAAGGGGTTAATATGCAAGAGGTATAAACACACACAGCTCATTTAGTATGGGCAGAAGATAGGAACAGACAATTCATCAAAGATGGCCAGAAGGCCAATACATGATGAAAAATGTCCCTCATTGTTCCCCAAAGAGAGATGCAGGTGAAAACCACAATAACATACATTTTCATGCCTGTGAGGATGGCACACATTAAAAAGACCTCACTGGCAAGTGCTGGACCTTTCCAGGCAAAAAAGGACCCGCTTCCAAAACTGTTGGTGGGAGCTTAAACCCGTGTAACCTTTATGACAGCCATCTGGTCTTACTTTACGAAGCCCAGAATGGAAGCACCATTCAACCCACCATTCCCACTCTTGGGCAGACCTCCAAAGACGACAAAGCCATCCATGCAGAAAGCCACAGTTCCCAGTGTCACAGCAGCACTAATCACAATAGCCTGTACATGGAAGTTGTCAAATGTCCACTTATGGCCTGGATCAAGAAGATGTGGTATATCCACACCATGAGTACTATATCACTTCAAGAAAAGGTGGGATGCAGCCATTCTTGACAAAACAAAGAGAAGTTGAGAAAATTCTGTGTAGATGTAGAAGGCAAGTCAGAGTAATACAAGCAAACCCTGGACATGTACATAGCAGACAATTTGAAAACATAAAACACTTAGAAACCAGTGGACATCAACAAACAGGTGAAGGCTCAGAGGCTAAAGGAAGACTGAAGGGGACGATCGAGGCTGTAGAGGAGGTTGATTTCTAGACTATGCTCTTTATGACTTAGGTCACATGTGTTTGGCAAGACTCACATATTACCAGCAATCTTTTCATTTTTTATCAAGACCCACATATTACCAGCAATCTTTTCATTTTTCATCATGACAGGCTAATGGTATTATTAACTTTTGGCAACATAATGCTAAAGACAATAATTGATTATATGTTTTAATGGCTTAGGGTTTTGTTTGGAAGTTTCTGTTCATTTAGTGAGGGTTCTTGCTTCTGTGAAATCGAATGTTTAAATAGTTTTTTTTCTAAAAAAACGTTTGAATGTAGGCTTAGAGTGTGGTGGTGGACCCCCGTGCCAGTCACTGAAATAACCTTGGTGTGACTGTCTAGCAGGCAACTGCCTATTTGAAAACTTTCTCTGGGATCAGTGGTTCTCCGTCTACCATAGCACCATCCAGAGGGAGGCTTCAGAAATGTATGGGGACATTTTTTTTTTTTTTGTCATAGCAACCGGGGCATTTGGCAACAAGTAGGAGAGGCAGGGCCACCCAGCATCCTGTTGTGCCCAGTGCACAACAAAGCAATTTCCCACTCAAAGGCCATCAGCACCCCCAGGCTGAACTTGATCTATAACAGAACCAACATTCTGAGCCTGGCTCTGATGAGGTACTCCTTGTATGTCCGATGGCTACCCTGAGACTTCTAATCGCCAGCAGTGAATGACTGTCAGATGACATATTCATGGTGGGTTTCTCAGCTTGTTTTGTCAAGAAGGAGAGGTCACCAAGGACAGCAGGATAACTTGACTTGTCCACGCTCTTTTCTCTCACTGTCCCAGGCTTCTTGGAGTTCACTTTCATGATGAACTATATTCTGACTCTGCCTGCTCATATTGCCAGTCTTTGCACAGTTTTGAAGCAAGTTGTAATGACACTAGGAAATGTACAGTTTATTGTGGGTAGAGTGTTTGCATCATCTCCTTGTTGATAGTTCTGTTGACAAGTTGGGAAATAGGGGATATTAGAAAGCAACATATTGCTTAGCTTTTTCATTGTACTGCTGGAATTGTCTCCCCATATTTTAAAAGGACAGCATTCTCAGGAAAAGGAGAAGAAAAAAAAAAAAATAGAGATACCGGCATAGGCAGGCAGCTGAGTTGCCACAGATGCTTTGCAAAGGGAAAAAAGTTCTTAAAAACAAACTCCTGCATAGTCCCAGGTGAGCAGGAGAGTGTGCTGTTGGAGTTTTTAAAGATGTCTTTAGTTTATACATAAAATTTAAAACTTTAGTGAACAGATTTTCAGTCTCAAGTTAGCACAAAAAGCATATCGTAAGCTTTCCTCATGGAGGTAGCACGTTGCTCTGTGTGTAGCACATTCACATTTTGATAGTTACTATGTCTTAGACCACATGGACTCCTATAACAAAATATCACAGACTGGGCTTTCTATAAATAGCAAAAATGGATTGCTCATAGTTCCAGAGGCTGGGTCAGCATGATCAGGCTGGTAAGGACCCTCTTTGGGGGTGCAGACAGCCAAATTCTTCTCATTCCCTCATATGAGGGAGGGGAGGGGTCAAGGAGCTCCTTTTTACAAGGTCACTCAATAATCCCAACTGTGAGGGCAAAGTCCAATCACTTCCCAAAGCTCCCCACCTCCTAGAACTATCATCTTGGGGAGGCTAGGAGCTCAACATACAAATTTTAGGGAGAAGGCACATTCAGACCATAGCAAACCTAGCAAGAATTATTTTGGCGGAGAAAAGGCAAGTGCTGTTATGGTCAGCACCCTATAAATGCACTCTGTTTCTCGGTTACGAGTTTGAGGCACTATTTTAAGACACACCTTTCAGCGTATACTTGGATTGCGGTTTCAATAGCTTCTTCAGCGGTCCTGTAAAAATTACAATTCCTTTCTCCTGTATGGTGTTTAAACAATTAAATTGATACTCTTTGGCTTTTATTATTCTTGAAAATATTTTCAAAATACACAACCTCCCATTAAAGTTTTATCACCATAATCTCATTAAAGTGTATTTGTTAAGCTATTATTAGCCAAACTTCTTCAAAAGGCAGAACAGGATGCACCTTTATTATTGTGTCCTTGACTTCTAAATAGGAACTTCGTTAACACTGCCGAGCAAGCAGCCTCTGCCTCCAGCTGCTCTGCTTCCTTGGGAGGCCAACGGAGAGAGACCTTTTTAAAGCCGACTCTTGTTAACAAAAGTCAGTCCAACTAAAATTTTAAGGTAGCCATCATTTTAAAATAAAACATGACTCCTGTCTTTGAACATAATCAAAAGACAATATAAAAAATGTGTGTGTGTCGTTTTGACTTATGACTAAATGTGTCCACTTTAAAAAAAAAATACAAGCAGTTGAAAAATGAAGCAGTTGAAAATTGAATTCCATGTATTCATACCCTCTCCTTGGGCTGGGGCTACCAGCAGCTTCCCACCTCCGCCCCTTCCGTGGTCCTCAATAGGAGGCACTCAAATGAACCCTTATGAATTCACTTACTGAGGAGGAGGCAAGAAGAGAGGACTTTTATCTTCCACCACATTTTCCCCAACAACAGTTGTGTGGCATCTTCATAATATTCTTCTGGTCAGTATCACATGAAACCCAAATGTCAGCAAAATATTTGTCTGATCATCCAGCATTTCCAGAAGAGTTAGGGCTATTACTATACCCACCATTCACTTAAATTATCGCAAGGAGACTATTGTTAGCATTTCCTCCCAGCAAAAGGCTGTAAAGGAAGACTTAGGAACACTATTCATTTAAATTGTATTTAACCAAATATGCTACATTAGGTGTAATTGGAAACAAACAGATAGTTGCATATACTTGACAGATTAAATGACAGCATGAAATAGACATAGTAGTGTGAGTTCATGATTTTGTGGCTTGCTGATGGCCATGAGGGGCTCAAGGGGTGGGTCTTTAAATTTTGTAGATGTTTGAATTTTTCCATAATGAAAAGTTTAAACTGCTGTGTTAAACCTAATAAAATTTAAAAATAATTGAGATAGGCCTCCTCTGACTTCTGTGGATGAAATAAAACTCACTCTTATCACTCTCTTTACCTTTATTTTACTTCTTAGTTTAACCTGTGATGTGTGCAAGGGGAAGAGGGGATGGTGGTATATACTCATTCATATGGCATCTGCCTCCCTTACTGGAAGACAATCTCTACAGAAGCCTGAACTTTTGTCAGTTTTTTGTGTCACTTGTGTGGGATCCAAGAACAGAAATATGAGTTCAATGATTTGGATAGATGATGGTTGGATGGCTGGGTGGGTGGATGGGAGGGGAGGGTGGGTGGATGGATGGATGGATAAACTGATGGATGTATGAATGGATGGACGGATGGATGGATGGACGTGGATGGATAAATTTTGCATGAGTGAATAAATACTGGCTACTAAATACTAAGCTATATTTTTATATTTTTTATTTGCTTTAGTTGCAGAATTAAGAAAAATCTTTGAACCAAAGAGAAAAGAATTTTTAGAGATGAAAAGGTCAGTTATTTTTATTATAAGTAATTAAGAAGTAGAAGAGCTTGGCAAAGCAATAGTCAGTTTTCTCTTAGGACTGATTCCCACTGCTCACTATGCCTTTCTTGGTGTCTTGCACAGAAAAGAAAGAATTGCCAGGCGCTTGGAAGGAATTGAAAGCGATGCCCAGCCTATCCTCTTGCAGAGCTGCACAGGGTTAGTCACTCATCGCTTGCTGGAAGAAGACACACCCAGATATATGCGGGCCACAGATCCAGCCAGCCCCCACACTGGTGAGCATGGGAGCCTGGCCACCCCATTCCGGCAGGCTCCCGGGGGGCTCCATGCGCCCTTTTGTCTATTAGTACTAGAAAACAATATACTCCACAAAAATGAATTATGTAGGTAAAGTTACATGATAATAAATGTATTTGCTATAAACCTCAATAACACAGTCAGTTCTGCCTCCTCATGCCAGTGTGTTCCTCTAGTTCAAAGCATAAGAGGTAAGTCTCCTTGGCAAACTGGTGAGCAGTTCATAACCACTCCCTTTCGCCTGGGGCCCTCAAGGGTGGCCAGAATTGTGACCACTTCTTCAACAGAGATTGTAGTAGAGGTTTATTTTGTAAAGGTTTAAATTAGATACATTAAAAAACAGTTCAACTAAGTACATTTATTTATTTACTTTTACATCAACCTTCCACTAATCCTTTGATCCAAACACAAAAATTTTTACAATTTTCAGTAGTCATCTGTGAATTTTTTCCCCACCACTTTCCTTATATACCTTTGCCCCTTTCCCTTCATTAAAATCCTTACTAACCTCAGAGCCTTCATAGTATTTGTTGATGACCACTGGATTATGGAAGTGTTTTCAAATTGTCTGTTATACATTTGTCCAGTATTTGTTTTTGTCATTCTGACTTGCCGACCACACATAATTTTCTCAACCCCCCGCCATTTTGTCAAGAATGGCTGCATCCCACCTTTTCTTGAAGTGATATAGTACTCATGGTGTGGATATACCACATCTTCTTGACCCAGGCCATCAGTGGACATTCGGCAACTTCCATGTACAGGCTATTGTGATTAGTGCTGCTGTGACACTGGGGAACTGTGGCTTTCTGCATGGATGGCTTTGTCGTCTTTGGAGGTCTGCCCAAGAGTGGGAATGGTGGGTTGTATGGTGCTTCCATTCTGGGCTTCTTAAAGTAAGACCAGATGGCTGTCATAAAGGTTACACGGGTTTAAGCTCCCACCAACGGTTTTGGAAGCGGGTCCTTTTTTGCCTGGAAAGGTCCAGCACTTGCCAGTGAGGTCTTTTTAATGTGTGCCATCCTCACAGGCATGAAAATGTATGTTATTGTGGTTTTCACCTGCATCTTTCTTTGAGGAGCAATGAGGGATATTTTTCATCTTGTATTGGCCTTCTAGATATTCTCTTTGATGAATTGTCTGTTCCTATCTTCTGCCCATACTAAATGAGTTGTGTGTTTTTATACCTCTTGCATGTTAACCCCTTGCTAGTTACATAGTGTGTGACTATTTTCTCCCATTTAATAGGATGTCTTTTTAAGTATCTTGTATTTCCTTCTTGTATAAGCAGTTTTTAATTTGAGGTAATGCCAATGGTTTATTTTTGGTTTTGATTCCTTTCCATCGGGATTGAGTCACCAAAGATATCTTTATCATCGATATCATGGAACATATCGCCATGTTTCTTCTACATGTTTCATTATTGCAGGTGTTATATCTAAATCTTTAATCCACTGGGAGTTTATTTTTGTGTATGGAGCTAGTAAGTGATCTTTCTTTTAAATGTGACTTTGCAATTTTTCCAGCACCATTTACTAGAGACTGTCCCCAGTGTATGGTCATAGCTGCTTTATCACAAATTAGATGTTTGTATGAATATAGATTTGTTTCTGGGCTTTCAATTTGATTCCACTGGCCCATGTATCTATTTCTCAGCCATTACCCTATTGTTTTTAGTATACTTTTGCTTTGTAGTAAAATTTGAAGTCAGGTAATATAACTGATTCTCATCTTTTTTTTCCTCAGCATAGCTTTTGCAATTTGAAGCCTTTTGTGAGTTCATATTTCAATAAAATTCAACCTGTTTTGTTTACTTTCTTTAAAAAAAGATTGCTGGTATTTGGATGGGGCCTTCATTGACCTGGTATGTCATTGTATGCAGGATAATTATTTTGATTCTCCCTATCAATGGGCATGGAATATTCATTCCTCTCCTTATGTTACTGTCTCAGTCCTTTTAACAACATATTGTAATTCTCACAGGTAAATTCTAGAGAATTTTTTGAAGCAATTGTTCTTAATTTCTTTTGTTTCCTGTTGTTTGTGTTTAAAAGGCTTGGATTTGTTATGTTATTTTATAATTTGCCACCTTGCTGAATTCCTCTATTGTTTGTGACAAATTTTTGATGGATTCTTCAGGCTTTTCTATATATAGCATAACACCTCCTGAGAACATTTCAGATTCACTTGTTTGCTGTTTTTCAACCATGTAAAGTTAGTTGTGGAATTACTTTTCTAACAATTCATGAATTGGGCATCCTCTTAACAAGCAGGAAGAGCTTTGAAGAGATGTATGAGAAGGAGGATTTCATAGGCAGAAAGGAGGCAGAGAAAAGGTTGTTTTTTCCCATGGGTCTGTCAGGTAGATTACTTTATTATTGCTTATCAAGTAATTCCAGATTGGCCAGTTAAAGGTCACATGCCTGGGAGAAGCTAAAACTGTAAGTTACATAATAAGTTTTAGTTTGGTGACAAAGACCTTAACACAAGTGACACCAGTTGGTACTCATTTTCTCTCATTTAACAGGTGTGTTCCTCTTCTTGTTTGTTTAAATAGAGGGCCCACGTGCCCCGCATAAGGCAGGACTGCTCTCACGGGAACACCAAGAACAGACCTAGAATGGTTAGGACTTTGCAGTAAACATCTACTTAAGTTATTTTAATACATGGAATTTTTGGTTTGCTGCAAATTTATTTAATATTAAACATGTCTAAAGTGACTTAGCCTTCCCTTGATTATGTAGCATCATTGTTAGGGGCAGTGTGACTATTTTAAACCTGTTTTCTCCACGCCTGTCCCTGCTCCTGTTGCTCTCTATTGCAGCTTTTTATAACCTGATTTTCTAGTTTCTTCCTCAGAGAGGGCTGTAAGTATCACTCCATAATGCATCAACTTTCTTATCACTGCATTTTATGAGCTTCTATTGTCATTAAACTAGAGAACTAATTTTTTTTTTAATTATACACATGGAAAGTCAAGAATAGACAAAAGTTACCAAAATTTATATTGGCAAAATTTACCCTAGTATAACATCACTCATTAGTGAGAAAAGGAAAATTTACATAATAAAATGGTGTTCTGATCATGGAAAAACAGTGGAGAGAGGGAAAGGACATATCCTTCTTATCATTTCCTACCAAACATAAAAATAAGTTCCAGTTAATCGCATCATTATTTTTTTTAAAGATTTATTTATTTATGCATACAGAACCGGGGTATAGGCCAGATGTGCAGGGGTGGTGAGAGGCTTCACCAGAGACAGTGGGGGGCAGAAAAGGCCAACTGATGAAGTACACTGCTGATGGAAGCAGCAGGCAGGTCAGGAGAGGTCAGCACGCCATGTGGATCATCTCCAGGGCTGGGATCGAATACATGCTGAAGTGGCTTTAGCTTCTTAGTGCTGTGCTTTAACCCACTGTGCCACCAGGGAGGGCCCACATCATTAATTTTAAGAAAGCAATAACATAAAAACATAGGTGACTATTTCATTCAAGTTAAATGGAGAAAGAGCCAAAGCCCAGAAAAAGCTGAAGAAATTACAAATGACCACCTCAATTATTTGACTGCATAAGAGTATCTGTGTTCCAAAGAAAATCTAATGTAAGGATTTCACAAAAAATTAGACAAGTGAGTTTGAAAATACTCATGAATAAGATTTTGAAAAAGGGATCATATTCCCTTTTAACCTAGTTAACACTAGGTCCTTCCTGGTGGCACAATGGGTTAGGACACAGCACTGCAAGCTAGTCACAGCTGCTTCAGTGTGAGTTCGATCTCCAGTCCCAGAGACTGGCAGACCTCTCTTGACCGGCCCGATGCTCCCCTCAGCAGTGTACTTTGTCAATCTGCATGTTCTGCTCCCCACTCTATCTCTGGTAAAGCCTCTCACCGCCCCTGCACCTCTGGCTTTTACCCCATTTCTGTATGCATAAATAAATAAATCTTTAAAAAATAATAAAATAAAAGTTGACACCAACTAATGAAAATGACATTATGAATCAATAGACTATAGAGCAGTAAGCTTGATCAGGTATTGCCAGAAGGAAGAGATAGTAGTTAATGCAAATGAATAATAAAGAATTGCAAAATATATCTACTCTCATTTTCTCATAGACAAAGGAAAAATTTTTTAAATTAAAACTGTAGAGAGCACATACTGAAAATTTAATTGTAAATACAGATCTTATATAAATTAATTTGGCAAATTAGCAGATAACTTAAAATGAAGTGTTCTTTGGTTAAACTATTTTACTTTTTGCTATTGTGGTGGTAATCAAAAATCAAACTGATTTAAAGTTAGGGATGACTTAAATATCCAGCAATGTGAGAAAGGTTAAGTTAACTGTAAAATGGCTAGTGGATAGAACATTACTAAGTCTTAAAAAAAATAATGTCTTCAAAATATAGATCTTCAAATATAGGTAGATGTTTTACATATAGTACATTAATGTTATATAAGATTAATTATTTTATGTACAAAAAAGAGAAAAAATTATATAAAGAGAAGAGAGAATATACAGAAATGTTTGGCATACTACCAGTTCATTATTTTAGGTTAGTGATTATGGCGATTTGAGCTTTTACTTTCTTCTGTTTCCTGTTAGACATATTCTACATAAGCATGAGTGCTTTAGTTGGAAAAAGTTACTTTTCTAGAAAGGAAAAACAACCCTGGTGAATATTGACATGTGTCTTTATTGTTATGGTTACTATCAGATCCTGTGAAACCACAACCTGTCACTTGTCTAATTACAGAAGTTTGCTATTTGTTATCTTTTCTAGAGGGCTCTCAACTAGTCCTATGACCTCACACATGAAATATTTATTAAACTCAAAAGCAAAGAAAGTAAATAAGAGGGAATAAGCGCCGACCAGCAAGAAGGCAGTGCCCGAGAGTGAGGGGACTGAGCTTTAATTGAGGATGTGGTTTTCACAGATTGGGGGACCTGTGAAACACTCACACTTCGTGGTTTTCACTGCAGGTCTTCAGCACCCCAGCTAAGTCATTGGTCACTGGCATGTGAGAAAATGGTCCTTCCCAATGTGGGCACTTCAGTGTGCATTGTGTGTAGAGCAGAGAAGACTAAATGTGTCTTTACTTGAAAAATGTAATATCCATGTGATCTTTTGTAGGCCGATCAAATGAAGAGGAAGACACTTCTGATTCCTCTTTAGAGAAGCAGACTCAGTCCAAGCACTGCACAGAAACTTCAGGCATCCATGGTGACTCATCCAGTGGCTCAGGTGCCATGGACACCCAGGGGCTTGAGTCCAAGGCTGAACGGATTGCAAGGTACAAAGCAGAGAGGAGACGGCAGCTGGCAGAAAGGTATGGGCTAACTCTGGATTCTGAAGTCGACTCTGAATCTCCAGCTCGGTATGCCAAGTCCAGGAAGGACCCCGATGCAGTAGAGAAAAGGGGAGGAAAAACTGACAAATGGGAAGAGGCAAGCAAAGATTCAAGTTCTTCATACTCTAGGACTGAGATCATGGGCTTCAGGACCTATGCGGCTGAATCGAAGGACTGTGGGCTCCATGGGGGTGATGGTGTGTCCCACACAGAGGTGCTGCTCAACGTGGAGAATCAAAGACGAGATCAAGAGCGGAGCACCATTGAGCAAGCCCAGGACCTGGCCCCTAAGGTTGAGAGTTCCACTTCCTTCGCATTCTCCACGGGAGACTGCTCCTTCAGTGATGTGCCAAGGTCCCCAAAGCAAATACCTACCGTGCCCCTTTCCTCTCCTCGGCATTCGGGACCCGCTAGCCTCTCCTCTGGTGACCCACTTTTTCCCACTGAGGCACGATCCAGGTAAGTGCTCAGCCAGACTTTCTTGTTAATGCAGGGAAGGCCCATGTCTTCTCTGCGCTCTGGGGGCTAGAGTATGGGTGTTCTGGTCATTCTGTCCAGGTCTTGGCTCATTGGAGAAATAATAGGCGATAGGGTTTTTAAATGTCCACAATATCAAAACAGTTCCTACCAAAACAGGAAATCTTGTATTCTTGTCCTTTTTTGTTTTCAGTGTTCTTTTTTAAAATAATCAACTGAAAAAAAAATCAACTGAACAGATGCTCAAGACCTTTCTTTCATTGTGTTTCTCACCTCTCTTTAACATTTGCCTTTTCTCTTTCTTGGTTTTTCTAAAATCATCCCCAAGACTCTTTTTATTGGTTGTTTCTCTCAATGGAACTCACTACTTCAAGTCCTACAGCTGCTGTTTTTCCTCTACATCAGCTGTGACTCACCTAATTTCTTGTAAGTGAGCTACAAAACCCATAATCAATCTTTCTTCCTTTCTTTCTTTCTTTCTTTCTTTTTTACGCTACCAAGATTGTCACTATCTTTCATCCACTTAGTAAATTACATCATTAGTGGCCAGAAAATGCTGATGTCCATCATGCAGAGCTGATGCTGAAACTTGACTTGATGCAGGGAGATCTGTGACCGGTAGTGATGGTTTTGGCATGGCTCCTGTGATACAGAGCTCTGGGGGATTGGCTCAGAAGGCTAGATCAAGACACCCTCCAGAATGAGCCTTTTCTGGAAAACTGTAACATGAAATTATAGCTAACTCAGAAGGAAAGGGATAATGCTGTGCTTTTGTAGTTTATGTTTGATTGTATTTCTCATTTTCTAATAACAAGATTGAGTCCCAAACATGTCTTTAGAGCTTCAAACTTCCACGGTTTGAATTAACTGTTTAACAGTGATAGAAATATCTACAAGGAGCGATGCTGACTCTGCTTGACTCTCAGCATTCCTATCTTCAGCTCCTATCTCTGTGACAGGCAGGCTCTTCAGGGTGTGCCCCTAGTCCGGGCAGAATGTTGTCAAAAACAAAGATCTCTGAGAGTCCACTCTAACAGTAGATACCTCTAGGACTTCCTCACAGATTCATTCTAGTATTTGGAATAGAATTGTTCTAACCTTTCAGTTCCTGAAACCCAATCATCTGCCCTCCCTATTAGCTTTTGCCTCTTTTTTTTTTTCTTCCAACTCTCTAGTATCAGTTTCTGATATTGAATTGAATATGAATGTCACCAAAAATACTTGCTAGTATAAAAATCCAAATGCATGCCAGACTGTAAATGCAGTGTTGCCTCTGCACAAGTCCCTTGCCCATTCATACTTCTGTGCACATATGCAAAGCAGTCCTTAACAGTTTTCCAAATAAACAACTTTAAGCCAATAAACTGTTAATTTTAATGAGATGCTACTGTCACCAACCGTCACCTTAATAATGCTGTTTATGATTAGGAACTGTTGTTTGATTAGAGTTGGACACCCACAAGGTAAAACTGATTTTATTGTGCTGGATTTCACTTTATTTTGGTAGCAGGAAGTACTTGTAGTCTGTTGACAAAAAGGGTTATGAGGAGTTAAAACTTACTGTTGAATTGTTGGTTGTATTGAATACAAACCGAGGGCAATTCCTGTCCCCTATCAAAAGGGTAAGCACTTACTTCCTGGGAATATAGTTCTCTGCCAACCGTTGCCTTATCATAAAAACGTTCTGTTTCACCCAAGCTCACGTCTCATGGTGCACATGCTCAGGCCCTATAATCCTCTCCCAGTGGAGGGAACTTTCGCCCATGGAGAATTGTCTCTTCCCAAGATCCCTCAAACGAGATTCTCTATGTTAAATAATTTGCAACTCTTCGGACCAGAAGGAAACTTAGAGATTATTGAGTTTAAAAATACTGGTTTTAACTATGGGGAAAAAAAAAAACCCTAAAGACTAAAGAATTTAAGTAACCAGGTAAAGACTATATAGCTACTGTGGCAAAAGTGAGTTGATTATCCATCATCGCTCCTCACTCGAGCTCCCTGACTCCATCAGAGTTCCTGCCATTTTACTTTCCTCTTGCTATTTGTGTCATTTCCATTTTCCATAGCTGGGAATGCTGGGGGTTTTTTCCCTTTGAAGTTTAGAAATTTTAAGAAGACCAGCAGTATTATAGAAGCAGTATATGTGAATTTACAAAAGCTATTTAAAAGCCTCATCTTTGGGCCCTCCCTGGCGGTGCAGCAGCACTAAGAAGCTAAAGCCACTTGCGCATGAGTTCGATTCCCTCCCTCCCTGGAGGTGATCCCTATGGCGTGGCAGACCTCTCCCGACCTGCCCACTGCTCCCCTCAGCATTGTACTTCCCTCAATCTGCCTGTTCTGCTTCCAGCTCTGTCTCTGATGAAGCCTCTCACCCTCCTGCACCTCTGGCCTGTACCCCAGTTCTATATGAATAAATAAATAAATCTTTAAAAAAAAAAAAAGCTTCATCCTCACAAACAAAATGAAAACATGTACTTCTAAAAGCATTCCAATTTAGTAGGCATCTGCCCAGCGACTCCTCAGCTAAAAGGTATTTTATGGGTTACAGTTCTACAGTAGCTTCATCATTCAGGAAAACTACCTACTGAGTGCCAGACATTGTGCTACTAGATGACCAGAGCATTTGAAACAAACCAAAAAGGTAGGAGAAATAACTACAACACAAGGAGGTGGGCAGATAGGTTCTAGATCCTGCGGTTGGCTCATGCTACAGGAATATAAAGATAGTGCATCAATTCCTCTCCCTTGGAGAAGTGTTCTAGCTGATCTACATCAGACAAGTACAGGAGGCTGGGCCAGGCATGAAGGCACAGCCATTCAGTACAGACCTAGGGACGGGCAGTGTGAGGCGGGAGAGCCAGGTGGGCACCCGTTCCAGAGTGCCTACAACAAGCCATGGCCTTGTGCCTGTGGATTATGGGAAGTACTGGAAGGGTGATTGATCATGTATTTTAGAAAGATGTTGGAGGAGTTTGGAGGAGTGATGTGAAATAGAAATGACTCCTGGTAGGGAGGACCCTGAAGTGGTAGTTGCAGTGACTCAGGTATGAGATAATGCAGTCTCTGCTTCCAGGTTGGCTTTGTCATGAATTTGGTCACATTTGGCATCTCATCAAATAATCTGGAAGGTAGCAGTAATTCAATGACCAGATTTCTGGAAGGCGGATTGTTAATATGTTTGATGCAGAAAGAACGGTGGGGGAAGGCTGGATGGGGAAGGGAGACAAGAGAGATAGGTGAGAGGACTGAAGCATGGAAACAGCAGAGCATATGGACCTGGAACAGTGATTGGAAATTACAAGATGAAATTTAGTAAAGTCCTGTACTTAGAGAGGGGAAAATGTTTACAAGTTCAGGATCAGCGAAACTTGATTTAACAGCAGTTCATGGGAAATTGACCTAGGAATTTTAATTGACAGCAAGTTCTTTAAGTGACTGCCAAGATGGCCAGTGCAAGCTTGAGGTACATTAATGAAAGTGACCTGTTGATAGCGTATTCATACTGTCCATCTGTATTCTTCAGTGATCAGATTACATCTGGGTCTTTTCTTTTAACTGGGCTTTTGACAAATGAGACATGTACAGGGAGTCCACCTTCCCATCTGCCCTGCTTTCTTGAACTTTCCAAGTTTTTTTTTTTTTTTTTTTAAGATTTATTTATGTATTCATACAGAACTGGGTTATAAGCCAGAGGAGCAGGGACAGTGAGAGGCTTCACCAGAGACAGAGTGGGGAGCAGAACAGGCAGATCAAGGTAGTACACTGCTGAGGGGAGCAGTGGATGGGTCAGTAGAGGTCTGTTGTGCCATGTGGATCACCTCCAGGGCCGGGGATTGAACTCGTACTGAAGTGGTTGTAGTGCTTTCCAAGTTTTAATAAAACTTCTTTCTGTCTTAATAGACATTAGAATCATTTCTGGATTCTTTTACACATTCTCTGGTGCCTAAAATTCCCAGATCAGTCTATCTGCTCATTATCAGATTGTCATTTTACCAAAGAGTTAAAAGCTGAAGCTTGGTTTTACACAGAGAGCTCTAACATTATCATTCTGCTTTTGATTGATGATTCTGCCAAAAAGGAAGAGGAGAGAGATCATTAACCAAATGAGATAGCTCATATTCAAAAATGCAACTTCATATGCACCTCATATCTTAGGAAAAAGACCGCTGAAATGCCCATCATCCTATGAAAGACTGACATGTCCAGAAAAGGACTGTGACAATTGTCAGATCTCCTAAATGTTGTACTGTGAATATGCCAACTGGCATTATGCCAGTTGAAAGGTTGATATAGATGACCTCAGTCAGAGCTTTGCTTTAGTAGTATTTAAGAGAGGTAGATGCCTTGTGTTAGTCATTTATCTCCAGTCATTTAGCCACTTCCTAGTGTCAGTACATACCCTATGTCTCAATGTATCATTTTTGAATGAATATTCTGCTGTTTTCTATGTATTGTTAAAAATCAGCAAACTTGGAAAACTGTTTGGAGGTTCCTCAAACTGCTAAACATGGAGCTTCCCTATGACCCAGCAGTCCCACTCCTTGGTATCTACCCAAAAGACACACAAAAAAGCACTGATTCAAAAAGATACCTGCACCTCCATGTTTATTGCTGCTTTATTCACAATTGGAAAGACATGGAAACAGTCCAAATGCCCAAAAATGGATGACTGGATTAAAAAGATGTGGTACATATACACAATGGAATATTACTCAGCAACCAATAAAGAGAAACACATGTCTTTTGCAGCAACATGGATGGAGCTGAAAAAGATCATGATTAGTGAAATAAGCCAGAAAGAAAAGGAAAAATACTGGATGGTTTCTCTCATAGCAGGAATATAATGGAACAGGCGAGAAAATAATGATAATTATGAACAGCTATATACCAGAGACATTTTTGGGAGGTGGAGTGGGGAATGGGATTAAAAACAGTGGGGGGAGGGAAATGCACTGGACTATGGTGATGGCACATGGGTGATTTGGTGATGGGAAACCCAAGGGGATTGCAACTGAGATGGAAAAATGCACAAAAATATGTAAAAATAAACTATTATAATAAAAAAAAATCAGCAACTACACCAGTGCTACTTGAAATAGCCAATCTGCAAATCATTTATCAGCCCACAACCTATAAAGAAGCTGTACACTTCTTGGTGCAAACGTCAGCTGAACTAGCCCGCAGGCTGTGGCGCGCTCATCTCCATTGTGGTGTGAGCCAGGTGTCTACTCATGTCCCCCAGCAGCAATCAGAACACATGTGGAGTAGCTCATGTTTATTCTAAAGGCTCTGCCTAAAGTTGGAATTTTTATATATGTCCTGGAAACAGTTTGCTCGTAACTGTTAAACTGTGAGTAGGAATTATGATAACTGAGCTAAAACCACTGGTTGCTGTTGGAATTTTATGAATTCAGCCTCTGCTCCTGAAAGCCTGATTATAGGGGAGTCTCATGGCTAAGGAGTTGAGTCCCAAGATTACCCTAGGAAGGATGGGTAAAATCTTAAATAAGAGATAAGGAAATCCAAATCCAGCTGGCGAATGGAAGCTTGACCTATCCCAGAAAGCCTGCTCAGCACATGTCTCAGGCCTGTCTGTGCATGTCTTCTCCCTGCCCTCTTACTGGACTAGGGTATTTAGCACTGACACTAGCTGAGGACAGGGAAAAAATTGCTTATCTCACAAGTTTACTCTGATTTTTGCCCCAAGAAGACCTTGCATTTCCACCTTTTTACTACTCAAGAACTCTTCATTCTGTCTTCTAAAATGGCTATGTTTCCATCAAAATGCACATATAATTTTCATATTTTTTCCTTCTACACTGTAAGAGAATATAGGTTAGTAGTTTGAGTAATCAGTACCATGGTAATAGTAGTAACTCCTTCTCTAAGTTTTAATAAATAAATGGAGCCCAGCAAACACCCTAGTATCTATGTGTCATTTCCATTCTACAAATGATGATTCAACATATTCCTAAATAAGGTCCTCATCAATTTTTATTATTGATGAGTTAAGACCAAATATTAGTCTTACCAATGAATCTCATGTTCAGAAAGTTTCACAGCTCTTCACAGTTTATAAAACAGTTTATACAAAGTACTTGAGCGTTAGTGTAATTATGTGAGATTAGCATTTTAGAGAATGCAGATTAGGAGTTTAAATTTTCATCCTGTGTCTTGCTTTACACAGTTACCATAACATTTTTATTATATATGATTGTTCTTTAAAACATCTTTAGCCTGTGTAATTACTTTGTCATATTCAATCTTATGCTTTATTTGTGTGTTGAAGAGTGAGCATGTAAATCATCTATTATCTTACCTAGCAATTTATACACTTTTTAAAGGCTGGACGATGCCTAAATCACCTTGATTACTTCTCAGAGTCTAGCTTGATGCTTTGTACTTAGTAGGAATTGAATAAAGATTTTTCAGATAAATCACAATTAGTATTGGTAACTGTTATGTTGGTTGTTGGACTATGGTGATGGCACATGGGTGATTTGGTGATGGGAAACCCAAGGGGATTGCAACTGAGATGGAAAAATGCACAAAAATATGTAAAAATAAACTATTATAATAATAATTATTAATATCATTGAATAATATTATCATTATTCAATGATAAAGACAAAAGACATTGTCTATTAACAACTAAATATATGATCTTATTGAATTTCTTTTGTGTATTACCTTTATTTCATACATATTGTTTTGCATGGACACTATTTTCATATGTGGCTATTTACCAGCATACCTTAAATAAGCAAATGGAAGTTAACTTGTATATTTCTAATCAAACTTCTTAGAAGAGAATTGCATGTGGGCAGAATATAACTTAACAGATACATACTTTTTTTGAATTATTGAGAAAACATTTTTCTTAATGAAACTTTCTTAGATATAATCATTTATCTCTGCATTTTAGGAATGAGCCAATGTCCTGGAGATTCCATAAGTGACCTGTGGCAAAATGTGCTTATTTATTTTCAAAAAACAGGATAATTCTTTACTTAACAAAAGTCTTTAGATCTTATAGTCAAGTCTGTGTTTATGTTGACATTTTAATAGAAAGTATCTGAAGTTTTGTTTTTTGTACATGATAGTCCCGGGAAACCCAAACATGAGTGGTTTCTCCAGAAAGATTCCGAAGGAGACACACCTTCACTTATCAACTGGCCTTCCAGGTATAACCCAAGTTGAAACTCTTGGCTTATGTTTAGCAAGTGCTTGTACTTCCCCTTTGCTGTCTCACCAGTCACCCAATGCTAACTTTCCTCTCCCCCTCTTTTTAAATGGCAATGTGTTTGAAAACCATGTGTTCAAAATAGGCTGTTGGACTTAGCTTCTAGTCCTTTCTTTTCCTCTACAATTGCCTTAATTCCTGCTAATAGTAGCTCATCTTCCACCATTGACTTCCTCTTTTTGATAATTCTTAACTTCACTCTTGCTTTTCTTTTTTCTCACCAACTCACATACTTGCCAGTGGAAGGAGGGGAGCCAGGAGGACCTAAGTTTCAGGGCACTTTGGGTTGCTCTGGAGTCTGACGAACCCATCATGTCAGCACTCCACACTCCCCTCGGTTTAGCTCTCCCAGCTGCTGTGTTTTCATGTCTCTTCATTTCTAAACCAGAAGTTAATTTTCAACAGTTTGATTTAAGGCGTGTGGTTTTAAAAGTAGACAAAAACCCCTGTCATTTCATTTTTAAGGTTGGGGGCAGGGAGAGGCGGAAGGACTAAGAATGAGTAAGTCATTGGCAGGACAAAGCATTCATATATTGAGTTTCTAACAGTCACTTTGTTCTCCACTGAGGACAACATTGTCTCTGATTAGAAAGACACATTCCATAGAACTTGAGCCACTTTTCAGTCTCCTTTTGATTTACAAAGCTTATAAATATGAAAACTTCCAACACTGACTAGTCAGTAGGGAAAATAATTCAATATGCCTTTTTTCTCCTTGAATTGTTCATGGGAACTGCCCTTTATACATCCTTGATTTTTCTTTAATGAAATATACATAGCATCTATAGCTTATGCTGATAAAAGTTAGCAGAGTTTTTTCCAGGCAGTATTTGTCATTTAAGGAAATTAATAAAAATATTTCTGCTGATTAATTTTAAACAAATGAAATTTTACATTTCCCGAGAAACAACTTTTTCTGTTCCAAAAGCATTCTTTACTTTATAGAGATTAATCTCAATCAGTAATACAGTTTTCATTTCCTCCTTCTCTATCTACATAGTTCAAAAAAAAGGAAAAATATGAGCTTGTTAGCAATGTTACTCTTTGCTAAGCCCAAAACTATGTGTTTTTCAAATATTACATTTTTGCACCATACTTTCCACTTACAGAATATAGCAAGGGAGGCAGGTGAGTTGCCTGAGACCGCACAGCTAGACTGACGGAGCCAGACTTTGAACTGAGTGTCTAGGTCCCACAGCCAACGGCCTTAGAGCGACTCTGCTTCTGCAGAGCCTGTAGTTTTTAAAATGAATTTTAGTCTTGTTCTCAGATACTTAAATATCCAAGAAACAATCAGAACAATACCTCTTTAGTTTAGTTTTTAACTATGGGCATAACAGCACTTCCAAAGGGGGAGAAAACATCCTGTTCATTAATGCTTTCAACAAATACTTTTTCTCTAACATCTTGGTGCTACAATTATGAGTAATAGTGATGTCCAAATTAGCATTATGTTCTATGAATGAATGAATGTAGTCTGCATTGCATGAAAAAGCTCGTGAAAGTGTAGTTGGGTGCTTGACAAAGGGTGATTGTTGTGTCTTGAGTTCTATACCAATGGTAATGATAATCATGGTCATAAATGCACTTACCTTTCCAGGAAACAAGTTATATCAGGTCAGTAGGTGTATATGGGTCATTACCTCCACAGTCCATACATGTAGGCCTGCTGACTCAGCATCAGCCTCGTGTGCCCTCCTGCATGTTGGAGTGAATATTGATGAGTTTTCCTGTAGCCTCTGGGTTCTCAGTGAGCCTGAAGGCATCCATTCTCTTCCAGCATTGCTTCAAATTCCTCCCAGCTTTCTAAAGAGTAGAATTAGTTTTGTATCCCATTGGCATACATCTGAAAACTTACCTCCATCAACATCACTTAGCAAGTGGTGCATTTCTGACATTAAACCAGAAAATTCTCTTTTTTACAAGTTTTTCTCTCTGTGAGTTGGTTTTCATCCAATAGTGTTCTCTGCCCTGAGCATGCTTTCTTCCTGTGTAACAGTTACTCTACATTGCAACTTAAATCCTTTTTCTTTCTTAAAGAGTTAAAGTTAGAGAAAAATTGGTGAAAGAGGAAAGTGCTCGCAGCAGTCCTGAACTTGCCCCAGAGTCCTTACCTCAGAGGAGACAGCAGCCAGTGCCAGTCCATTACCTATCCCTTCAGTCAGAGAACTCGGCTTTCGAGAGGGTGATGAGCAAGGCATCCGGCTCTGCCCGACAGCAGATTCGGGGCTACACTCAGTCAGCAGATCCCATTCACACTGCCAAGCTGGTGACCTCAGAAACCCCAGAAAATGTATCTGAGTACAGCTGGGTGGGATCAGCCACCCAGAATGTCATAAAAGGTGATCTAGAAGGTGAGAGAAGGGATACCCCAGTTCTCCATAGTAGTGGATCCAAAGCAGATGAAGATGTGCCTTTCACTGAAGCTGTTGAGAAAAGCAGGAAAACACTGTCATCTTTGGAGACTCATGGATTATCAAGAAGCCACCAGCACCCCTCTGGAAATGAGGGCTTTGTTACAACCACTGTTAGCACAATCACCTTGAAACAACAAAAGGAAGCAGAGCAGCTGTCACAAGCTCAGCACCAGCCATCTGAGAGAACGGGAAGGAGCGAAGTGGTATTATATGTTCAGAGTGAGCCTGTGTCCCAGGATGCCAGGGTGACAGGTCGCAAAAGAGAAACAACTATGAAGAAGCACAAGGTTCTCGTCCGATCCCTGTCCGACTACACGGGACCCCCTCAGCTCCAGGCCCTGAACTGTAAGGACCCAGCTTCAACTCAGGAGCTCAGAAGTTCCCAAGCTGAGGAGCCCCATACAGAGGTTGGCATGCTGGATACAAGGGTCTCTGTTGCCCAGCTCCGACATGCATTTCTGGAGTCTGCCACTTCTAGCAAGAAACCTAAACTGTAGGTGATGTTTCAAACGTCTTTCAGATGTGTCACTTGCACGTCGTTGGCAGGATTATTCACTGCTCAACTTGTATGATATCCTGCACTGAGTCATATTAAGCTTAGCTCACGAGTGTGTGCAGGGCAGACCATCCAGGAAATGGCTCAAAAACTACCATTTTGCTTCCGCCTACTAATGGGGAGTAGAGGATTGGGGCTCTGGAATGTTCTACCTCCTTTACATGCATGATAGAGGCATGCAGTGGGATTCGCAGTGGCAGTGTCTGTGCCTTGACTCACTGAGATGCATAAACTTTGCTTTGTTCTTATTTTCTGTCTTCCTGTCTCCTCTTCTGTATATACTCTACCTATGATTCTAAAAGCCAATCACGGTTTGAGAGGTCAACCGAAGGAGTTGGCTTGACTACCAGTGTGGAACAGGAGAGAGGGCTCCGGAAACCAAGACGCTATTTTTCTCCTGGTGAAAGTAGGAAAACTTCTGAGAGATTTAGAACTCAACCTATAACCTCAGCAGAACGAAAGGAGTCAGATAGGTAGGCATATGTATGTGTAGCTCCATGGCCTAGGAACTGAAAAAAATCATACAGGATTTTTACTACAGTGATGGTTTTGATGCTGTATAAAAGGGATGTGGTGATTCCACAATTCTTCATTCTAATCTGTACTTGGCTGGAGTAAATGTATCTTTTAAGACCCTTGTCTATTATAACAGATGATGTAGTTTTAAATTGTGCTAAGACATTAAGAAGAAAACATTACTTGTCTTTACTTAAAGTTTTTAATGTTTTATGCCCATGTTAAATCAGAATCTAAGTTGAGTATGCACCAGATTTTACAGTGAAAATAACTCAGGGATTTTATATTCATTTTATGTGTCTGTTTGCTGTATTTGAGTTTTAGATTCTCACATGTTGATGCATAGGCTCATCTAAAAAAAGTATCACTATTTTTTAAAAATTATACTTGAAACTGGTTTTTCCCCAAGAGGTGTGTGCTTGATTGGGTTGTGTGCACACTTACTTCACAGTGTTGCTAACAACTGAACATGCACAGTCACTGAAGTCACTACTACGGTGATTTTCTTTTTAGAGCGTGTAGTGCTTTTATTTTTACTTAAAACATTGTAAATTACTCCCACCGGCTAATTTTTGTCGTTGTTATCTGGTAATGTGTTTTCCAGGTCTGCTTCAAAATCAGAAATGCCAATGCCTGAAGGCAAGTAATTTTCCTTTTTCCTCTGTCATCTCACCCAACTCAGATTTAAATGATAAGATGTTTGCTTTTGAGAGTATGAGATTATGGACATGACAATTTCTTACTATCTGCAGCTTTTCTGTGTGTAAATATAATAAAATCTAGGTGAGAGATTCAGAAGTGTGTTTGCTTAGTTGTGAGAGTTAAGGAATTAGAGTGAATAATATGAAAACAATTGATTTGAACCAAAGAAACAGGTTTTCCTTGTTACTGCTTCTCTTTAACAACAGTAAAGAAAAGAATTCTCTTCCATAAATTGTATCTTAAATCTCAATTTTTCAAATATTATAGAAGAAAATTACTGTCCCAGACCGTTTGGTTTGGTCAGCTGCAAAGGAAATCATCACCTTTTCCTTGAAAAGGTGAGCAGAAGAGGTTCCCCCCCAGAGGGAAAAATATTGCCAATTTTGTAATTTTAGTACTTTTCTTTTGTAGTTCTTAACGTACCTATTTTGTCATTTTTACATTATCTATCTAGTATAATAAAATATTGCCAATATTGTAATATTCAGTATAGCCTTCAAATACTCAAAGGCTTTCCAGTCAGCCTTGGAAGAATTTTCAGAGACTTACCCTACATTTTCCCATAATGTTCAGTTTTGATTTTGTGACTTTTTACAGATGAAGAAAAGGTAGATGAGCGAGCCAAGCTGAGTGTTGCTGCCAAGAGGCTGCTGTTCAGGGTAAGGCGTGCTGAGGGCCCTGTGGAGAGGTCCTGGGCTAGGGGTCTCACTGTGCCTGTGTCCTTCCTGCACCTGGCTCTGTCACCACCACTCTCTGGCCTTCCTGGGCTTCTCTCTGAGTCTTTAGCTGGAGTGGCCACCAGCTGACAGCACAGGTGTGGGCTTCTGCTGAGGATACAGGACTCTTGGGGGTGGCTGCTAGGGGACCAGAGAGACATTTTGCCCCATTTTCTTTCCCCAAATTTATAAGGATTCTACACTACATCTTGCTTTAGGAAATGGAAAAATCATTTGATGAGAAGAATGTTCCCAAGCGACGCTCAAGAAATGCAGCCGTGGAGCAAAGGCTTCGGCGCCTGCAGGACAGATCTCACACCCAGCCGGTCACCACCGAGGAGGTGGTCATCGCCGCCACGTAAGTCTCCCTCCTGGCCTCCTGTCTGTGGCTGTAATGTTGTTTCTAAAAAACATTTGAGGACTTATGAGGCGATCAGGAGATTGTTTATTAGAAGCCACAGAAGTTGATATTTAGGGATTTTTCTTCAAATTTCTCTGAACTTTGTAACGAGAAACACCTCAGTATCTCCTAAAGAAAACTCCTAAAGAGGAATTATGTTTATTTTCCTCTGTTCCTTTTTTAAATTATTTCTTATGATGTGAAATTTAAAACATGAAAGAAAAGGGATTAATACTGCAAACCCATGCAGTCACCCCTACCGTCACCCCTTTAGACTCTGGCCAGTGCCGCTCCCCGCCTTCCCCTGCCCTGTCCCTGTTCCTCCCACATTATTTTCAAGCAAAACCCAGCTATCATTTCATGCAAAAAATTTTATGTATGTGTGTATCTCAAAAAGGTGTTATTTTTATTTGCTTTTATTTATCACCAAGGAAAATTTTCTAACTAATTGTGAGTTTGATGGTTTTTCAAATATGGGAAATCAGTTTTGAGCAATATGTTCCAGTATGTTCAAAATGAATTTCCCAAAGTACCTCATTGAAAGATAGTGACTTTCATCAGGTGAAGACTAATACGAGTTCTTTGAACATTGTTTTTGTGCTCCCCCAGGACACACATACATCCTGGAAAAATTAAATTCATCTCATCCAGGATTATTGATTCCCCAGAGGCTTTATATTCTGCCCTGCACCTTTAAACCTACTGTTAGGTTACTGCTTTCACATATTTCTCTGGTTGTTCTCAACTTCTTGGTGTCATTGTGGACAAGCACATCTTATATTTGTTAAGAACTCTTAGCTAACCAGTTTGCTTGGTTTTGTTTGTTTTTAAAAATACAAAGTAGTTACCCTGAGACTGAAATAGTAAATAATAAAAAATGATCACCTTGTAAGACTTGCTAAATCCACTCTGAAGTACTGAGAAGTTACACAGAGAAGGACACTGATTCATTTTTTTAAAAAAATGGTTGAGAACAACATTGTAAAGTGTGGGCCTAATCTACTGATTTGCTGATGCTTGAGGTTAGCTTTTTTGAGAATTATTTTTATAAACTAGACATTTATTCCAAAAGACAGAAGAGCCCCTTCCGAGTTCAAAACCTACTCTTATTCTATTTACTTTGGGCTAAGCCTCTGGCTCTTATTTCCTAAGTTTGCAAATGCTTTTCAAGTTCTTTTTGTGATGTTCCCAAAGTCATTAGCAAACAGTTTTGTTAAAATATTTTGATTTAACGTTTTTGAACTGAAAATTTTGCTTTCTTTAATGCTTCTTTTCTTCTCTCTCCTTATGAATGTTCCTTCTTTGGCAACTGCTTTTAAAGTGAACCTATCCCTGCTTCGTGCTCTGTGGCCACCCACCCTGTAATGGCAAGACTTCCCTGTCCCACTATAGCTAAGAGCACTGTGCAGCCTGCCAGGTACCGGAAAGAATAGCTGCACGCAGCATCGAGCGCAAAGGTTCTAGAAGGCAGATGCATCTTAAAATCTTGAATGCCTTTCTCATGTGTTTGACAGCAAGTCAGTGCAATGAGTTATTCTCGGAATGCATGGCATTTGTGTTATCACTGGTAACTTCATAGGGCCTGCATGAGAAAATACTTCACCCACCCGTTACTAAGTATTGCCACTGGGATCACACTAACTCACTTATCCATTTGTTTTGCTATTGTCTTTCATGATCATGACATCCCAAAGTAATTTCATTCTTCATCTAAAATACTAGTGCTTAATAAAGATTAATAGAAAAATAGGCATTAACATGAATGTTGAAATTCTGATATGTGCAGTTTCTAAAAAATGCTCATAATCACAAATCCATGTTAAAAACAGTCCTATTCCTAATGGATAGCGAGACATTGCTATTTTATTGTCAGATTGGAACATTAAGGCCTTATAGTACCTGAGCTTAGCTATTTTACTATTGTGTCTTAAAATTAGGCCCTTAAAACATATAAATCATTTCGCTGCTTTATGGATAAGGGCCAAAGCACAGAGTCTAAAATAAGAGAAATAGAAGTAAAGTGACCATGCATAAATAAAACTGGCACAACTCAGAGCAGGGTCCTCTTTGGGGGACCCTGTCATCACTCCCCGGTCACGAAAGCCCAGGAAAGTCACAGAGACTCAGGTTGCTTTATTGCCATTCTCATAACCCCCTGCGGTGGTGGCGCTGCTATCTTGTCTGTGACAACTTGTGAATCAGTGATTGATGGGCGATAGGCAGAGTAGACCTTTTCCTGGGCTTGAGAACTGGATTTGCCACTGTTAGAAGGCACATTTAATTGAACCTTCCAGGGTTCACAGTAACCGTCTAACCTTTCATCTCTACCTGGACGTTGGAGGGATTTACCATCACCTGACCCTCATGTTTTACTAGTCACTGGGAATTGTAGATTTAAGTACCTTTTCAAGCACTGGTAGAAGCCTGTGAGAAAACAATTGACTGAAGCAGTGAAAGAATTGAAAATTAAACCCACTGGTATTTAATCATTGAAAATCAAGACTGTGTTATAGAGAATGCTTTGACAGACTATATTATTTTGACTATATTATTTTCTAGTTATTTAAAGTAAAAAGGCTACCTCCTGAGTCACATTTTCAGTTAATGTCTGAACCATAGGTAATGCTTTTGTCTTACTGATTATTGATTCTAGCAGTACAAATTCACTCTCTAAGCTAAGCTATAGCCAAGCAGCTAACTTCAACTGTATATTAATATTAATTGTATTCATTGTATTGTAAACACGATATGCAATGTCTAGAAATAATTCAGAGCTAAAAATCTGCTTGTGAAATTGGTAAAACTAGTGTCTCTAGCCTACTCTGCCCTTCACTGCCTCATTTAATAACAAGCAGTTGCTACACCTGTCTTAAATGTAAGGGAAAAAGCACACTTCAAAAGTGATCCTGGGGAAAAAATGACTAAAATGAGTTGTGGGCTTTTGTTTGCATTTAATCTGTCACTGACTTTATATCCCTTTCAGATTACAGGCTTCTGCTCACCAAAAGGCTTTAGCCAGAGAGCAGGCAAATGAAAGCCGAGACTCCACTGAACAAGGTGAACCTGATTCCTCAACCCTAAGCCTAGCAGAGAAGCTGGCCTTGTTTAACAAATTGTCCCAGCCAGTCTCAAAAGCCATTTCTACCCGAAACAGAATAGACGTGCGGCAGAGAAGGATGAATGCTCGCTATCAGACTCAGCCGGTCACCCTGGTAGAGGTGGAGCAGGTGGGTGTGCCGTAACCGGATTTGAGTGTACGTGGATGTTCTTAAACTGGGGAATCACAGCCTTACTCTTAGCTTAATGATATAATCAGGTGATCTGCCTGTAAGCGCTTTCCTGTAGTTGATTTGGTAATAACTTGATTCCAAAGAAAGATAACCATACCATGTCTCTCTCCTCTTATTTTCATAATTTGCTCACTAACATCATCTGGAGCCAGTCCATTTTGTAAGAAAAATTGGATGCATGGCCAGCTTTTCTCCAGATGACTCGGACTAATGAGATGCATAATGTAACTGCCTAGGATTGACTTCCTGATAAGCAGGAAAACTGTACCAAACATAGTATTTCCATCTGGCAATTCATCAGCTGGGAATTATGATGACAATATTTTTATATCAGTTTTTTATGATGTGTAACTGTGTCCTCTCAGGTGCAGAGTGGAAAGCTCATTCCTTTCTCACCTACTGTGAACACGTCTGTGTCCACCGTGGCGTCAACAGCCACTCCGATGTACGCGGGGGATCTTCGCACGAAGCCTTCTGTGGATGACCAAATAAGTGCCACTGACTATAAGTCCCCTTCTGTGACAGAAAATTCAGATACTCCAGTTCGAGTTGCTCAGAAATCCCAGGCCTGGCAGCCTTCTGTAGAGTATACAGGGAGCAAAGGGATGTTGAAAGAATCTGGAGAAACAGAAGGCAAGAGAGTATGGTCTGATGGAGATGGAGGTGCTCGAAAGCATGGGTCCTTTGAGGACACAGAGTCCTCTCACCTTGTCTTCAACAGAGTTCGGGAAGGAGACAGCCATAAAGAACCTAGGCAAGCTGCTCTCCGAAAGGGAAGCCTGGAGCTGCCCGGTCCTCCCATTACCTGTGTTGCTGATGAACTGAAGGAATTTTCCACTCCTAAAAGCACTTCCCAAGGGAATCCCGACTTGAAGGACAGACAGCCCTTTGAAGAGAAGGTGGACACGGAGAATGGCTCACACAGGAGGTTTTCGCTAGGAGGTGAGTTAATACTGCTACTCAAGTGTAAGAAACAGCTGCATTTTTAGTATCAGCTTGATTGACTGTATGTGTTTGTGAATGTTTTCACCTAAATTATGAAAGCTGTTTATAGCTAGCATTAATTGAATGTCCAGTATGGATCCTGCTCTCCTCCAGACTTCTTAAATCTCTTACATCTGAACTGTACAGTGAGTTAACACATTTTTCAGCAATAAAAATACCTGAAAATCTTTCACACATCTTGATCAGGGCTTTTGATGACTTTATGCATTAGCTCTCACAAAGGAGCCTTGTCAACTGCCAGCTGTGTTGGCCCCTCTTGCACGTCCATGACCTCAAAGGTCCAGGCCTGGGTAAGCACAGGAAATAAGTACTTGAACCCTCGTCTCTAGATTGCCAGACTCGCTGCATTCCTCTTATGCAGACTGCACTTATATAAATGATGGAGTGTAAATTATTGGTTTCAGTTCGTGAGTCTGGCACATTTAAAATGTAATAGTATTGTTTTAGAGAAGAAGCCTGCAGTTGTGTGTCGATAAAGCTAGCTTCCATGTTCACATAGGAAAAGGCTAATTGTCCCAAAATAACTTGCTGTGTGGAGCAACCTGCTGGGAAATTTGGTTTTCTCACATGGCACTGATTTGCATAAATCTGAGTGGATTGGGAAACTTGCCATGTGCCCACCCACCCTCCAGATGAACTCCAAGTGCAGGATTGTTGGGGTGGGGAGTGACTAGCTGGAGGAATGTTGCCTGGAGGAGGATGTGCTGACCAGGCTTCTTCCCTTTCCAGCGGCAGAATTTGGGGATCCTACTTATGAGCAGACAGACGCGGCTTCTGGGAAAAGTGTTGTGCAAACCGCAACCTCTGTGTGCTGGAAGCAGCAAGATCCTTCAGAACAAGCACAGGAGAAACCCTTTAAGAGTCCATGTGCCATGTTTGCTGCAGGAGAGATTAAAGCATCAACCATGGAAGGCATCCTTGATTCACCCAGCAAAACCATGTCAATTAAAGAAAGGTAATCAAATGTAATGATTGCAAAGTAATAAAATTAGGGAGAAATTTATGCCTTTCTTTTAGAAATAATCTGAGAAATAGACAAAAAAAAAAAAAAGAATTCCACTCCCTAAGGAGATGTGCTGTTAAACTAGAGGGAGGTATTGTGGGAGGTTAAAGCGTCTGAGTGACCTGCCTCTCACCCCAGGGCTTGCTTTGGTGACAGTGGAGAAGCGCCCATTCCAGATTCAGATGAAACAAACACAGACTTTAGCTTGCCTCATCTGTTTGCAGTTGTTTTTTTCTTTTTCACATTAAATTCTTCAAATTTCCAATGATGTGAGCAGAGATCTTGGCTTCTTGCCTTTCAGATACACATAGTTTCAAAGAGAATGCACCCACTGCATGTGACTGTCTATTTAAAATACACGGAGAAGGAATGCAGATAAATTCATAGTTAAGCTGTGAATCTTTGGGGTTAGAATTTAAGTTTTGTGTATTTTATGAAAAATAAAATGGATGACTGAACTGCATTTACAAATTTTACTCTAGGTGGTAGCTGTGAAAGCTCACATCTGCCTATTAAATAACACAGTTCCCTCATTTCATCCAAAATGATGAAGGATTGAGAGAAAAGATTTTCAGAGTTAAATAGTTCAGGTTGTATTTTCCTTGTTACCCTTTCTCCACCTTTGAATTAAGTAGCAAAAATGTAAACAGTGATAGGAAGACTGGGCAAGAAAGGTCTCATGAAATTCCTGGTGTGATTGAAAATATTTCCACCATTTATTTTCCATGGTTCTGTCCACCTGGATTCTTCCTGGGTAGCAGCACTACTCAAAAGTTTTACTCTGGAAGACACTGGTCATTCTTATTGTTCTGGACACATTTAACCACCTGAGACTGTTGATCAAGCTTCTATGAAAATTCTTCATTCTGTTTTCCACAGCAAGCTCATAGCATATTATTCATGAAATATTAACTAGATGGAGCCTTTTTCAACTGAGTAATTAGTAAGATTGTTAAATCTTAGTTTCTTTTGTCTTACTTAAATTTCACAGTAAATTAGATATACTAGGGGAGACAGTTAAAGGCTTCTAGGTACATGCTAAAGGACACAGGGAAGTTTTGAATCAGAGAAACAATGTGGTTCCTTCTGACATGATGTGCTCCTGGTGGAAACCTGGGGCAGAGTGTGTTTGCAGAGATCCAACTATTGATAACCAGTTAGGTGAGAAGGAAGAGAAGCCTTTTTAGTAAATTAATGATAAATGTGACTTGCACACCAGGTCTGAAGTACATCAGAAAATATTCCCTTGGCAAAACCCCATTCATCATGGATTTTAAAGGAGATCCCCCAACTTTGGCTATAGTCTGTCTATTGGGACTTACAAATTTTTATAAAGTTGGATATTTATCCACTATGTAATCTTAATTTTCCCATTTTTAGTAAGTTTTAGTTGATCTGTGTCTTTTTGAAAGCAGCTTTAGTCCTGCTGTAAAATATTTACTGTTGAAGATGGGAGCTGCTTGCATGCCTGTCTGAGGAGTTCAGGATGGCTGTACTGCTTCTGGGAGGGGCCTGCAGGAGTATTCCCAGGCACACGTGCGTGTATTTGCACCTTCTGGCTAGGAGCAGACAGGGCGCTCACAGTCTGAAAGGCTGCTGACTGCAATTAGGATGCTTGTTCAATAGTCCACTATACAGCCTGTTAAAATACAAGTTTAAGAAAGGTTAAGGGACACTTTATCTAGAGTTCTATTTGTAAAAAAATATGTCAAATATAGAATTTCCAGTCATCTCTCCTCCTCAGTAGTGCTTTCATTTGTGCATTACTGAAAAAAACCAAAATCACCTATCTCTACAATCCATCTGTGATAAATTTTCACAGACCCCTCCCTCTGTCCTAACAAAATAATGAAGTTTGACCTACTTAAAACAGAAATGCTTTTCTGTATATTTATTTGGGCTTTACTTGTTTGTTGAGAAGGGGAGACACAAATAAAATATAACTTTTAAACCTTATTCAGACTTTTTCTTAGCTCACTTACCAAAGGCAGGATTTAGTCCCGGTGGCCTTCTGGGTCATGGTAGGAACAGAATCTATGCCAGGACTGGTTTCCAGCTCCTCCCCTAGCACTTGTGAGGGGTGAGGTAGTCACAGGTTCAAAGTAGTGTTAAGCAACTGGCTTATTCTAGCTCAAAGACACTGATCAGAGGCAGAAACTAGCTAGAAAGCAGTAGTAGAAAGATTTTTGCTCTCTTCCTGCAATCATTTTCTTAATTCATGTATCCTGGAGTGCCTTGTTTCAAATTTGCTTTCATTTTCCCATTTCAGACTGAGGTAGAGGCTGGGCTTTGCCGCTTCTCATCATTCCTTCTGCATAGCTGCCCCCGGAGGCTGTTTCCAACACTGCCCAACTCAGAGCTGGGGCATGCTGAGTCTTCCCCTCTGAGGACCAGAGGGTCCTGTGTGGCGCTGGCTGTTTGCCTGTACTATCTCATTTGTTCAGAAGCGAGATCTTAGAAAGAGGCAGTATTGTCCCCTTTTGTAGATGTAAACCAAGACATGGAAAAATATAACCTCAACATGGTCCTCTTTTAAAATATTTGATGCTCAAGGAAACTTATTTAAAAGTTCCTTTGCTTTTATTCTTCTTTTCTGACAAGAAAGTCAAGTTTGAACCATGAGGAGCATGAAACTTAGAGTACAATTCACGTTTTCCACCACATTAATAGAACCACAGTTTCATAACTTTCTAAATGAGTTGTTTTAAACTGTGCCTGTTTGGGGACTTATTTTGAAAAACATTATCAAATAATTTTTAAGTTATTAAGGGATAAAGTCTTTCATACCTCATTAGAAGTACACCAGCCTTTTCGAAATCTTACTTCTACAATTACTGAAATAGTATCTTCTGTTCTTTCATATTTGAAGGAAAAGATTATTTTAAAAAGGCAGAAGAACCACAGCCTTTCCCTCTGGTCAGTTGATGTAAAGACTTAGTTCAACTCCTGGAATGTTGAAGAACCTACCCCATGCCTCTGGCCAGCCTGCAGAATTGTCTTATAGAGACCAGCTGGGGTCTCCCTACGTTCCTACCAGACCCTCCATACACTTTCTGCTCTATATCCAGCCACAGTCTGTATCCATGCTTCCCCAACAGACTTTAGGCTCCTGTTCTTATTTTGTGTCTGGGAGATTTTAGCCACCCCTGGGCTTAATGTGATAATTAAGGATAGAACTATCTATCCTATGTTACCTCCATTTTTTTATTTTGCTCTGCCCTTATTTAATGGATAAAGAAAAATGTGCTACACTCAATGGAATATTACTAGCCATTAAGAAAGGTGAATTCTTGCCTTTTGTAATGGTATAACTAGAAATTGAGGTGATAGGTAAAATAAGCCAGAAAGTAAAACACAATGACCAAATTTGTAGAATTTAAATAGAAAAAAAAAGAAAAAAAAAACCTGGTAAAACAGAATTAAAATAATTCTTGGGCTCAGTGAAAAATACAGTGGTTTCCAGAGGAGGAGGAAAATGTGATAACTCTAGAACTTTGTAGTGGAGGCTGTGAGCTATGTACACATATACAGATGTGAAACCGTTCCTGAAACTCACATAGTATGGTAAATCAATAAAATGTGCTAAAAAAATAAAATTAAAGGACATAGGAGTTCGTGCCTCCAGCCTCAAAACTAGCCAAAGGCAAGAATCTGATGAGTCCTAACCAGTGCTGTTCATCCCTAAGCTGAAATCTGTGTGATGCCTGTGAGTCTCTGAAAATGAGGGGACATTTTTAAAGGAAGGAGAAAAAAATATAAGGCTAGAGACATGCAGTTTGCTGTCTCATATTTGACCCAGCCCTGCCCACCCTGGGCTTGCAGAACGTGTTCTAATCAAGCAAGGCTCTTCAAGCAGGGCCACTGAACGGCCACCTCTGGCCAGTCTTCCCTGCTGGAAAATGTGGGCTGTGGTGAGAGGGGGAGACATTTTGCTGGCAGCATGGCATGCACACATCACAGTGGCCACAGGCCAGGCCTGGGGTTAATAGGCTAACACAGCACCAGTCCCTGGGTTCTCAAGCTCAGACTAAGCAGATGCCCAGGCTTTCAACATCACAGCCCTGCAAATAGCACTTGGATTTGGCAGATGTTAAAAGCACTGAGAGTTGTTTGAATAGCATAGGCAGTAATTTATGTCATGAGATGGATCATCATTCACTGTCAGTCCTCTCCAAGGCACAGTTTGCTGAGACAGGAGGGTCCAGAGATGGCAGGAGAAAAGAAAAGTCTCCGCATCCTCAGCTTGTTGAACATCAAGTAGGACATCTAAAGCGACAAGAAACATATTTTGCCACTTCAGTACATGTTATTTTAAGTTATCCATCATTTGCACTGTGTAGGCTCCGGCTGGGTCCAAGTGCCATGTGGGCTCCGTTGAAGCAGTTTCTTCCATATTATTTTGGTTGTTCTGTAGTCTTTGGAAATCCCTGTTGATGACTTTGCCAACACATCCAGAAGCAAGATGTGAGTTCTTAGAATGGAGGAATTCTTTGAAGGCCATCCAAGGGGGAAAAAAACTTTATAAGAAAACCAGAATATTACTGTTCATGAAACATTAGGGCAAAAATGTGTCTGGTCAGCTAGCACACTAATACAGTGAAACAAGCCAGGCACTGGGAGACACATTTCCCTGCCCCACTAACATGCAGGGTGACCTCCGCCAAAGGAACTCTTGGCCTGGGCATGCTCCTGTTCCTTTTCCCTGAGACGGGCAATAACAGTATCCAGTTTCTTGGAGGTCGCTGTGCAAATCAGAGTATAAAGTGAACTATAAAGTAATTACAGATTCCACAACTTGGTTTCTTCTAAGTCAGTTTTACATTCCTTAAAGCAGCCACCAGGGAAACCATATGATTATTTAGATGATGTTGTCATGGCTCCAAACATTTGGGAGCTGCTTTGTGAGATGATCTTCAAAGACTATATAGCACATAATTTTTAATAATTCCAACTCATCAGGAAGAATTTTATTTTTCTTTAATTCTCCCCAATCATTTGGATTCCAATCAGATTAAAAAGATGAGTAGTCAGAATGAATAATTGTAGTCTAAGTCAAAGGGGAAAAGAAAGGAACTGGTTCTGAGGCCAGTTTGCAAGGAGAATAACAACGAGATCAATGTCTCTCTTATAAGATGATGAATTAAAAGTACCACTTCACTGGGGCATAAAGGTATGTCTGCTTTATGAAGGTCTTATTTGTAGCCATTTTGAAATCTCTGCTGTAGCAAGCACGTACTAATCGTCTTTTAATGACTTAATTGTGTTATTCTTTTTTCTTATTACAATAAAAATGACTCACTTAGAATAATTGGAGAAATGATGCTAGTCATTATATAGTCTAAAATTCAGATGAAAACATTTAAAGGAGCTTAGAACTAGCATGATGATGTCAAACATCATAGTTTGTAGAACTTAGGGCCAAATGGATCCTTGTACCAAATGAGGCCACTCTGTAAGATATTGATTTCTATTTCCAATATGTAAGAATCCCTTCCTCTCTCCCAGTCAACCAGTTCTCTACTAGCAACTGGGTTTCCTACAGTTCAACTCTGACATTATCTTCCTGGAGATAGTAACCAGGGTACCTTACCACAGGGTAAGGGCACGGTTCTCCAAGGTTGCCCCTCTTCAGTTACCTATCACTAGTCCAGGTTGTCACCTGTGCTTCTGACTGATGAGCTGTAGATCAGAAGTTCCAGTGACCCCCTCCAAGGTTTTCATTATTCGTAGAGTTGCTCACAGAACTCCAAAAACTTCACCTACTATATCACTGGTTTATTATAAAAGGATATAACTCAGGAACAGCCAGATGGAAGTGAGATATAGGGGAAGGACCACAGGCTTCTGTGTTCTCTCCAAGTGTATCACACTCCCCAATTGCCACACAGGATCTCTCCAGACCTTGTCCTTTTTGGTTTTAATGCATAAATGTGATTGATTAAAGCACTGATTATTGGAGATTGAGCTCAATCTCTAGTTCCTGTCTCTCCCTGGTGGTCAAGGGGTGGGACAAAAGTCCCAACTCAAATCACACGCTTGGTTCTCTAAGTGACCCAGACCCACTGGCATTCTTAGAAGCTTTCCAAAAGTCACTTTATTTAATGTAACAAAAGACATCTTTGCTGCTGCTATTGCTCAGGAAATTCTAAGGGTTTTAGAAGCTCTGTTTTAGAAAAGGTGACTATGACCTAATACATATTTCTTTGAATGGGTATTTGAAGTCATTTCTGCTAGCAGTCACAAAGCAGAAAGGATATGGAGGAAAAAGACAAGGTTGGGTTGAGATATCAAGTCCATATTTGAAAACTCCTGTCTCTCTTTTCTTCATGACCTAATTTCAATGAATAGATAAATTATGCATGAATTTGGAGATGAATGTAGAGTATTGTTTAAATGCTGCAAAAAAAAAAATGTTTTCTTATTTGCTTAACAAAACTTTTACCTTAAGTATGATATATTTCATCCCATTTCCAATTCAACTAGTCCATGGAGTTCAGGAACTGAGTAGCAGGATCTTCAGAGAGCATCTTGCTTTGCTCCCAACATGACAAGTAAGGAAAGGAGACCAAGCTATTTGCAGGGAGATAATCACCAAATGAGAGCTGATGTACTACTTAAAAATACACTGTGGAGATGCACTAATTAAGTATTAAAAACCCTGTCCATCATGTTCAGTGGGGAGGAAAAAGATCTGCTGGGGTTTTACCCTATTTTTTGAATTACTTGACCATCAACGCAAATGAGTTTAATGACCATCCCCCTTCTGCTTTTTATCTTTCCTGCATTTGTGTGACTTAAATGCCCACGAATTCCTCATTCATTATAAATATAGTTAGCAGAAATGATCTCATATTCACAAAATAACCTTTCACAGATTATAATATGCAAGTACTAGTTGAACTATAATGTAGGTTAGGTAAGACTCAATTAATTAGGTTCTTTTTTTGTATGTAGTTTTCCCCTGATGAAAACTGAGGTAATAATTTTAAAAATGGGTTTGTAGAGAATAGTTTCTGCATTGAGAAGGTCAACTGAAAAGATCAAGTTCGTTTGAAGGAAAATAAGAGAATTTAGAATACAGGAAAAAGAATCTTAGAGATCATCATTTACCTATATTTGAAAAGTTTGATAAGAGATTATCAATGTTTTGTAGTTTAAAATTTTTAAACCCATTTCTACTATTCCTGCAAATAAATACTGTCCAACTTTTGCCATGAAATGTTATTTTTACAAGTGGCCAGATTGGGTCACTGTCAGACATTTTTCTCTGGGGACAGTTATTTTTGTTTTTATAAGAAGTTATGATTTAATTATGGTTTTAATGTATTACTCTTATGATTTGGTGAAAAGGCAATATTGGGTATTTTATATGCTTTGTTTGTAAAACATTCCGCTCTTGTCAACAACTCCTAGATCTACATATGCTGAGCCCTTAGGCTACTTTCAGAGGACTGAACAAGTAGAGCCAAATTTCTACAGCAAAAGTTTACTTCTTGGGGACTCCCTGGTGGTACAGGGGTTAAATTCTCAGTGCTGTCAAGCTATCACCAGCCACTACAGCCACTGTGGCATGTGTTAGAGCCCTACCCAGGGACCACATGGCTCAGCAGACCTCTCCTGAACAGCCTACTGCTCCGCTCAGCAGTGTGTTTCAGTCAGTCTGCCTGTCCTGCTCCCCACTCTGTCTCTGGTGAATCCTCTCACACACATCCCACCTCTGGCCTACACCCCAGTTCTTATATGCATAAATAAATAAAAATTGGTAAAAAAAACAAAATCTTTTAGGAAAGACATATTTGAAGCTACTCAACAAAAATGCTTGCTGCTTTCTGGGAACAGTTTCTTTGCTAGCTTTGTGCTCTGAGCTTAAGGGGAGAAAGGGCATCCTTATAGGAAGAGGAGGATGAATCTGTTATCAGCCTTGCTTTTCATCTACTTTAAAATCTTTGGGTCAACTTAGAATAGAAAAGAGACTCCTAGATTACTTTTCTATACATATACTTTTCTTCAAAATAAATGAATTCCAAAAAGATTAAAATGGATCATTGTAGTCTTCGTTTTCCAAAGAATACTAGCTAACGTAAATTATGGTTCTGTTACAAGTAAGTTTTGTGCTGAACTCTTTTGGGTTGGCTGGTTTTCCCCATAGGTTAGCCCTGTTGAAGAAGAGTGGGGAGGAAGATTGGAAAAACAGACTGAGCAGAAAGCAGGAGTTTAGCAGAGTGTCTGTCACCAGTAGCCTGCATACTCAAGAAGTGGAACAGTCACTCAAGAAGAAGGTATGTCCTCGTGTTTGGGGAGCATATTCAGACTAACCTCACCTTGGAAATGCATCACATAGGCAGCCTGCATGACAAGTGACTACTATGTGATGTGGGGGGGGCACTCTCTCGCTGTTAGAGTACATAGAGTCTCTGTCACACAGCTGCTTACACTGATGAAAAGATGAACTGCAATGTTGTAGAACTGATAACAGCACTGCATACATAATGCATCAGCAAGCAAGTTCCTGAATGTTGGCATGTGTACTTTGGTTTAAAGCCTTAAATCAGGTCTGACTTCACAATGGTATTAAAATCTTTACAATGAAAAATATTAATTGACTGCTATCCATTTATAAGCCACGTGTGAAATCTGAACTTGAATTTCTCATGCCAAGATTTAAAACCTAAGTATATAAAACAAGGACATAATTGTGGTCAGTGAGGGCTCATTTTGTAATTGTAAGCATGTTTCACACAAGGAGGTATGCCCTTTATAACAGCAAAATATGTTACTAGTTTAGGTAAAAGTATGTAATACACTTATCAATACTAGCAAGCACTTCATATGGAATCACATTGATGAGTTAGATTATTGGTATAACAACACTCCAAAAATTGATGGAGATTTCCTGCCATTTGACGCTACCACTGCAACACATACTTGCTGACTGGCAGCAAGGCAGACCCTGGGGATAGTCTGCAAGACAACTTCTAAGCTCCGAAGTCTCTCAAGAGAAAAATATACTTCCCTCAGATGATCACCTGGACCCCTTCTAATTTAGAAGCAAGTTAGGCAGGTGGGAGAGAGAAGTTATGACCTTTTTACCCATTAAGAAACACATATTAGAAGGCACTGCGTAGGCGATATTGTGAGGACACTGCTGTCAGATAGTGCTACCTGAGGTAGCACGAGATGATGCTCCTGTATTTTCATGAGGTAAATTACAATAGCCATTTTCATTCTGTTTTTTTGAGACGTGCTTTTGAAAATAATGCTTAAATATATTCTCAGCCATTTGTTATCAAATATTAAAAGCATATGTATGAAATTTGGATTTCAAGAATGAGATCCTATAGTAAAAGAAACTGAATCCCTCAATGTACCCCTATTGCCCACAAGCTCAATTTCAAAGGTCGTGAAATTTATTGGTTCAAATATAACTTTCCTCTTGGTCATTTTGGAAGCAGAGAAACCTTAGGAATTGATCTTCCTTATGACCGGGTAAAAATTAAAATAAAGCTAAACAGCACAAAAGTGTTATAGATCATTTGTAAATAAGGTAATGAACTAGTGCTCTCTACTATCTAAGAAAAATGAATAGAAATTATGTCTGAATTATGTCTGAATAGAAATTAAGCACAGTAATATTAACTAAGGTTTTTAGAAGACAAGAGATACAAGATGATCCCTGCAGTTATACTTTCCTGGGATGGAAACCCCCGTAACTGGAGCCCTGGGTGCCCAGCAGCCCAGACTCAAGTGTGAAGCGATGTCTCTGGGGTAGTGGGTGCTGAAAATTCTGCAGCAATGGAGAACTCACTATGCCTACCCTTGAGTGACCCAGATCAGTCTGGCCTGAGACAGTAAGCTCTTTGAAGTTAAAATAAGCTGATCTATTTTAGGCTTTTGTAGCAGACACTGGGAAATCTCAAGTTCTGTGGCCCAGGGCTCTTTGTATGACCTCTGATATTTCTTCCCACAAGCGGCAGTCTGTTTCACACCTTAGCTCTGCTCAGAGGTGGCTTGTGGTGGATCTGGACCTGCCAACCCTGTACTGCTCAGGGAGAAAGTTCTAGACTTCCCATCTTTTCTAGCAAAGATGGAAAGGAGCTGGTTTTATAGTCACTGTGAGCACAGCTGTTGACTGGACCACACAGCACATGTTAGTTACCAGACATTTTACAGTTTCGCTTTTTCAAGCTTTTGTGTGAGATGAGTGTAGTCTCCTGATTTTGCAGCCTGGGAAAAAGCTAGGAGGCAAGAATTAGAGAAAGGTCTATAAATCGCTTGTACTGTCCCTGTGAAAATCCATGCTGACTTATAAAAAGAAAATACTGTGAGCTACATAAGTTTAGGTTGTCAAGTGACCACATTTAAAAAATATAAAAAGGATGCTTTGGAAATCTGTAATTGTTTTTGTTTCTGTCAAGGCATTTCCCCCAAATCAAACACAATTGTGGGCTATAACCAGCATCATTTTTAGGCCCTACGTGGTCAAATATATTCCTTTGGCCCAGCAATAGACTTGGAGAGAACGAAGAGTTTTTATATCCCTACTAAAAGAACAGTATCTCAGAGAATATATAACTTAAAAGCAATTCCCTTTTTCCAAATTTATCCCCCAAAATCAAGATTGATGATTTGGAGCTTAAGAGAATAATCGTTTACCTAGTTGACGCTCTCATTTCCTACAGCAAATAGTTTATGTTCTTTCTCTTCTTTCTTTCTCTCTCTCGCCTTTTCTCATTCTTTCTCCTGTTCTTGGTGTAGTGTGGGGTAGTGTTAACCTGTTGTAAGTATTTTTGCTTTTGCAGCATATATGATTTTTTCTAAATGTTAAAGCCATTTGGTCTGTAAATTTGGCCTGGTCCACGCTGTGTGGAATGTGTGCACTTGAGCATGGGCTGTGGACAATTTCCTCCAGGGTAGCTCATTCCATGGGAAATGAAACAGCAAATTTTCTTTTAAAAGTGTTTTGGCAGGAGTCCCTTTATTATAACTAAATTGCATTTATTTATTTTCATCAAGTAATTATTTTAAAATACCCCCACTTTGACATATTGGATATTCAGGCTTATACAGTGACTCCTTTGCCCTTTTGTTAAGATCATCATCCAGTATACCAGACATTTTTCAGGAAATAAAATCCCTTTATGGAGTTTGCCCTCCCAGTGTTATGTCTGCCTCTGAGTCCCAGGTTAGGATTTACTATCCAGCTGTGCATCTGTAGTGTCAGGTCAGTGATCAAGCTGGGACCTATGATGTCTCCAGAACAATCCTTGAAAATTCAAGGAAGGTAATTCTTGTTTGAATGGCTTTGTTATTGCAATTCTGAATCACTCAGGAGAATGAAATCAGTTTAAAGAGCAAGGGTAGAAGGGAGAGAAAGGTGATGGCTTGACCTCCAAATTAAAGGTTGTCATCCACGGACGGGTGAGCTTCCTTGGTGACTGCGCCACTGAGCGTGTGAGCATGTGCACGCTTCACTGAACCCAAGCACAGAGCACTGGAAAATGATTGTGACGCCCTAAACAGACCCTGCTCTTCCGACAGTCTGCAATGTTTCCTGTTTGTTTTAACCTGTAGGAAGAAGGAGGATTTACAGATGATAATGCCATTTCTAATCTGCTTTGGGTAAGCCTCACTCTAACCTAGGTGTCCTCTGGATTCTAGCCATTTATTCCCACCAAGTTGGTTCTGGTCACTGATGTTCCCTTTGCACCCTCCCTGTTTCATATTCTCATCCCAAGGTGTGATACACCTTTATCCAGAACAAAGAGCTAACCTTTTTCCTTAATTTTTTTTAAATATATGTATTGAAATTCTTTATAGGAGATTTTTTGTATTGTATGTTAATACTTTTTATGTGTCATGACCCCTTCGTAACTAAGTTATCTTATATAAATTGCAGTAATCTTGTCATTAACTCATTCGATTACTGCAAACACACTTAGATATATTTAATACTCTTGAAAGGACAACTGGAATTGCAATGAGTAAAGTAACATTTTGTTAGAAAAAATCATAGTTTTTCCTCTCCCCTCCCCCATCCTACTCTGATAAATCTTCTCTTTTCACCTCTAATCCTCTTGCTTTGCTCTGTAGGAACCAGTATATGCTTCTACTTATTCTCCTGCTATACCTGCTGCCCATAAATACCTGTCTTTTGTATCTATTAATCAGGTGAGGAAAAGCTTACAGATATTAAGCCTCATTGCAATTTCTAAGTAGTGAAGAATTTGTTACATTTGGGGGAGCATCTCCTTTCCTGCATTTCACTCTGGGTGTGTGCGCTTGTGTGTATGTGTGCATATTTTTAATATGTATTTAATCTATGATTCATTTTGTGTCAGTTGCACACATCCCATTTTTGTTTCAAACTGTCAGGTAGACCTGGTCATATTAACTACCTCGTAGTCATGAAATTGGTCTAAGAGGAAATTTTTCCCTTTAATCTCCATGCTCTGTATCCTAAATTGAATCAGGAGCCCAAGAGATATAGCAGTGTTCCGAGTTCCAGTTCAGTAACAACATAGTCTTGCCGGGCCTGGTAAGGAGAATGCAGTGGGGGTGAGAAGCACGGGGAGAATAGTCAAGCAAGAAGAGGCCCCTGAGACAGGAGCTGGCTGCACTATTGACATGAGCACCACTGCTCCTCCTCCTGGCCCTCCATCCTCACTGTGACCCACCTGAATCCCACCCCAGAAGGGACATCTGATCTGGTCTGAGGAACTCTGTTGATGTATAATACCTGATCATTTTTAAAGCTAAAAATGTCGGTGATTTTTTTTTTTTTTAATTTCCCTTGGAAGATTTCTTTTATGAAAATAGCACAGAAAGGTGGCTGTGTGCAGCTGCCTGTGAATCCCAGCTTCTGGTCTCCCTTTCTATGGAAACTTGATTCCTCTGCATCCTCGCCAGATCTGGAACTTTATTACCTCTATGTTGCTTCTAACTTTAGGACCAAAACATGTTGTTGAGTGAGCCACACAGGATTCAATTAGGAAATCTGCACAGTGCTGCCTGAGTGGGTGTTGGGGTGGGAGGACGGCACTGTCTTCATTAGTGTCTTCACATGGAAATTCCCATTTCTTCTCCCTGAGATGGCCTTTCCCTCATTCTGTTTGGGTCCTTTGCTGTGAAATTCTAGTCTGTGAGAGCCTAGACACCCATGTGGCCAGCCAGTGTCCACCCCCAAAAGAGATTACTATGATTTTTAACAGCAGTTTAAGATTCACAGCAAAACTGAGCCCAAAGAACAGAGAATTCCCATGTACTGCCTTGCCATCTACACCTCCTCAAACACATCTGGCAAGCTACCGGAAACTGGAAACTCCAAAAGGCTTTATTATGACAGGGCTCACATTCTCACAAGAGCCCTAGGGGAATCGCCGTGCTGTGAGAAATAAAATTGCTGATTCGGGGATACCATCTCTCTGAGTCATCAACCGCACCCCACGACCTCACCCAGGTTTTTGGAGGCGTGTTACTGAGTTCACTCGGCTAGTGATGCCTCGGTCTTTGGAGAAGCAAATTTGGCAGCTTATATGTTTTTTCAAAATATTTTAAGCCATGTTGATTTGATTTAAATTCACTCCTAAAACTTCATTTTCAAGAAAACTTATTCTTGTGTTTAAATTTGGATGAAGTCTTTCTGGCAAGCCAACCTCATAGTTTATTTAATAAGAGTATGTGACTCAGGGAGCTATTTGGAATTAGGGTCATTTTGCCAATTGTGAGTGGGAAAGTAAAGTGTTTTTTTTTTTAATTGGGGTAACTTTAGTTTGATAAAATGTAGAACTTTAGAAAAGCTGTCATAGCAGACAAGGCACCATTGTATTCCCTTTACTAGACCCACCAATTGTTCTAATTCACTCCCTTTCCACCTCCTCTTCTTGATCTCACCTCTCCCCATTGCCAATGTTCCCTTTCCCCTCATTTCTACTAAATAAATTTATAAACATAATACACATACAGATTCCTCCTATTGTTCAAAACTAGACTACTCCTATTTGGGTTTACTAGACCATTCATTTGTAGGGAAAGTTTTTTAATGTTTTCAGATCCCAAAAAATAACCTACCAGCTCATACCAAATAAGCAGACGTGGTCTTTGGAACAGATGTGATTCTTGGTTCTTCACCCGCATCTGCTCCCTGGCCAGGGGAGGGAGCTCTCTGGGACCTTTGTTAGAAGGCCACTCATTCCACTCTTGAAAGTTCCAGCCTCATGACCTTATCACCTCCCAAGGCCTCACTCTTATGCCATCACATTAGGGACTAGGTTTCAGCATATGCGCTTGGGAGGATACAAACGATAGTACAGAGCAGATTTCACAACCACAACACAGTGACCAGGGTTGAGGACATTTAACGCTGGTATGATGTTTACATGATCCACAGTCCATAATCCAGTTGATTCAGTGTCCCCCAGTAATATCCTTTGTAGTTCCAGCCTTTCACTCCATCTAGAATCCAAGCCAGAATCAAACATTGCATTGAGACGTCATGTCTCTTCAGAAGATTTTTTAATGTACTTTTTTTATTAGATTCTTTTTTTTTAATTGACGTATCATTGTTTTACATCCTTATTAGTAAAATGACAAGATAGCCTCCCCCCTCACATGTGGTCACTATAGCTCTCCCGCCTCCAGAGTACCCATCGTCCCCCTTCTGCCTCTGCACCCCTCCTGTTAGCACCACCCCCCTCTGGATAGCCCAGCTCTGTGGTCAGCTGTCGGGTTGGTTTCAATGTTTACCCTTTGTTTGGATTCTCTATATTCCTTGCGTAAGCGACACCAACCATTATTTATCTTTCTTCTCCTGGCTTATTTTGCTTAATATAATCCTTTGCAACCAATCTTTGGTTTTTAACATTGACTATACAAGTACTCTGGTATTAGCACATGTTTACAACCCCAAAGTGTTTTGGTTGGTTGGTTGTTGTTGTTTTTTTTTTTTTTTTGCTTTAGTATATGTAAAGAGGGGGTTAAATGTTAAATGTGTATTTAAAAAAATATTAATGATGTGTCATTATTTCACAGGAAAATATTTAACCTAATTTAGATTACCAAAGATCTCAACATTAGTTCTAGCAATGACTGTTTTAGAAAAAAATCCTGTAAAATTAATATTTATAAAGTAGATGGTGAAGAAGTCCATATGTTTGGCATAACATGAATTTTATAAGCACATATGTTGCTAGAAGGGAAGAAAGACCCCTTTCCTACATTACCCTCCATTCCAAGGCCTTAAGAGGATGAACTGTGCCAATCTCTACTTTCTTCCTTCATTCAGTAGTCGTTTCCTGTTGTTCAATTTAGGGAAGTGCTTGCATAGCAGGATAGACGATAGTGGAAGAAGAGTCCCTAGTTCCCCCCCTTTCCCTTCCCCCAGATACATTCTGCATGGGACTTTTCCATTTTGTCAGTGAAAGTTCTTAAGATCCCCTTGATTTTTTTCAAGGGAAGATTCCTCATGGGAGAGAAGAGCTGGGGAAACACTCACAAGTGTTTAGGGAGGGCTCATCTGTAGTTTGAGCAGATATCCTATCAATAGCTTTCTCAGTCCTAAGACACTGTGGCCAAAGCAAAAGAACAAACCCTTCCCCTTTTGTGGGAATTCCTTATGGTGGACAGCCAAGGGAAGCACCTTCTCTTCAGGAGAGGATACTTTTTCTTCTTCAACACCAGCTCCCACAGCACCTGCCCTTCCCCACCATTCTCACTGGTTTCACTCATCTTTGCCCCCACAAAGAGCACTTATGCAGAGAAAGAAGGGAAGGTGTGAGGAGAGAGGGAAAACAAATTCCTTACTACCTTGTTTATCATCCAGCCACTGGCATTACACACTTTGTTCTCATGGAGCCTCAGCAGGAGCACAGGGCCTTGCCCATCCTGCCTTCCCTTGCTCTTTGTCCTTCACCTGAGCCCTACCCCGGGCATGTCCTGAGCTCCCCCTTGCCTTGATCCCTCAAGTCTCCCTACAGTGCCTGCCCTTTAGGTTGTGTGAGTGTCAACAGTTGGTTTTAGGTACAAACATTATAAGGCATTCACATGTGCATACATATCTACCGATGTATGTATGTGTATAAATGGAGAGAGACTATAGCACAGTTCACCCTCAGTGTTACATTGATTATGACTTAGAAGTTGCTTCCATGGGCTGCCCTGGTTGCTTAATTGCTCATATACCACACTCACTCTAGGAAGAAACATGCTAGAAAGACTTCTGATAGCACATTTACTCCTAATGCATTCCCTCAACTGTATAGCTGGCCATGTGCCTTATGAAATTCAGTGGCTAAAATTTCCTAGATTAACATATTTTTGGTGAGCATATGTGGATAAACGTCCTCATCAACTCATTTGAACTAGATAAGTAGGATGGAGCAATTTTGAAACCTTTTAAAGTTCATGCTATAAAAACAGTCTATATTCTTTGTTTACATTTTCAAAGTATCATTTGGTGTTTCAGTGTTCCAAACAAATAAGGGAAGAAAAACCAAAGTCTCAATTTCAAGTTTCATTTTTACTGATGATGATCTCTAACACAAGCTGGACATAAAATCCAAAGCAGTTCAGACAGACCAGTTGTGGCAAATGTAGTATTCCTCTACTTTTCAATTCATACATTTCTATAAGTTGAAATTCACACCTCTACCATTTTTCTCTCTTCGCCTTCGCACATTTTATAAACAGCGGGTGACAGAAAGTCGAGAGAGCCAAATGACTATTGAGGAGAGGAAGCATCTCATCACCGTGCGAGAAGAAGCCTGGAAAACGAAGGGCAAAGGAGCAGCCAATGACTCCACCCAGTTCACAGTGGCTGGCAGGATGGTGAAGAAAGGTAAGGGGGGGGGGGGCGTCACTGCCACTAGGTCACCCGTGGGAGGGGTGTGACATGTGACTGCTTGATTGAAACAGTCAGGCCCGGGGCCTGTTTTCATTTTACTGAAGTTGTAGGAACATCTTTAGGGTAGATTTTGTGAGGTGTTCTTACAGAAAACTCTTTCTTCAAAAAGAATGTCATCTTTCACGTGAGGAGCATATATTCAGTTAGTAACATTTCCAAACCTAGCACTTTGGCAATTTAACACAGGTTTCCAAAGCAATTGTGAATCTGCTAGCAAATCTTAGGTGTTTCCCATAATCACTTGTGTGTCGTTTCCATTTTCTTTCCATCTGGCAATCAGGTAAGCCAAATAAGTCTCAACGAAGGACTTTGTCTTTTCTCTCTTTTGGGGTAATTCCTAGGCCTCTTTCCAGTAAACTAGAGTTGTCTGGTTTACAGAGCCTATGTTCCAGATATATTTTAATAGATGACTGAGAGATGTATCCAATTCCAAGGAAGTGGGATTTCCCTGCAGATGGTCATTTCTCTGCAGCTTAGCTATTGAAACTAATTGAAACCTGCCTCCAAAGATTACAAAATTGGCCGACATAACACATGGTCGGGAAAGTCACCAGAGAATTTTTAGGCTCCCTATCTTGTCGTAAATGGTTAACGTTTGGGTTCTTTGCCACCTAGCTGCATGTATCTTCATCTCTGTTGTTTAAAACCAGGTTTCCTGATTTAGCAATAAAAGTTTTCACATTCATTTACAGTTAACTCACAGTGTCATCAGATCCTAAGTGTTAAATCTTTTCTCAAAACCTGTCAAGTGGGGCTGTCTTGCTCACAAATCGTGGGACTCAATAGTAGGCTCTTGCTAAACATTGGTAGGAGGAGGGAAACCCCCTGAATTATGGCTCACTCAAATCTTGTAGAAAATCCTTTCTAACAAACGCTTCTACTTCCGAACGGTACAAATTGAGGAAACAGACTACTCTTAACTAATCTTGGAAGTTTCAGATGATGGCAGAAGATAGTTTATCTCCCAGAAAGATGTAGAGCTTGACTATTCCTCAAGTCAGAGAACTATATGATCATGTTTAAACTATCTTAACACGAGCTTCATCCCTATGTTAACAAACATAGGCCCTCAGACCTCTATAGATTAAGTAACTGAGGCAGAGTTCGTAAACCAGAACTCAAGTCTTTCAACTTACAGCCTGGATTTTTATATTAATGATTTTTTTACTTTGATTTCTTTTGTTCCCTTCCATCTTAAAACTCTAATGTATTTGTAAGTGGGCATTTGCTACCAAATACCATTCCTTTATCCATAGCACAGTCAGAGGGTTGCTCTGATTGAGGTTTGGAGAACTCTGTCAGAGAAGCTCAACCCCTTAGTGGGTGAGTTTGCATTCACATTTCTCTAAATAAAGCAGGAATATTTATTTAACAGGTGCTATATCACTTGTTCTGGAAATAATTTTCTTGTACTTTTAATTTAATGAAAATCTATAGCTTATTTTAAGTATTTACTACCACCTGGGTTATATGTTTCACTTGAGTCGTAAACAATTTCTGATTTGTAGTGATTTGACATCCAGTTTATACTTGCTGCAGAATAGAATACCCTCAGCTACAGCCTTGGAGTCTTCTCATCTCATCAGGTTGCCCCGGTCTGTTTAGCAGGTGTTAGTGTAGATCAACAAGTTGCCAGGAGACAAGCTGCGCCCTCATTTTCATTCCCTTACCCCAGAAAAGGCTATTCTACCTCACCCTCATTGGGACTTCCACCTTTTTTGATAATCCTACATTCTATGTAAAAGTGAGTAATCGAGACTTATCCTGTAAGAAAAGTTTGCCTTAGAAGAAGAGAAATGAAAATGTCCCAAAATTAGTACATTGGATATTACCTATAGAAGTCATTGAAAATAGGTGTGGGAGTGTTTTGCTTTAATGCTGGGTAATTTAAATCTGGAGCCCCATCATGGTCTCTAGCTGGACCATGCCGGGGCCCACCACCAAGATCTATCCCTCATGCTGCTGCCGCATGGGCAGCAGGGGGCACCCTGACTATGCGGAGGCCTGGTCTCCTGGCCGCCTTCGAGTCAGGCTTGTTTCCTGGCTTCAGAGTTCATGGACCCTGTGCTAGTGATCTCTTCCACATTTGTTAAGCACCTTTTTAAGAGGTAATGATTTACTTGACCAACCTGTGATACCAAAGTTTATTCTCTGTATTATCTTTCAAGAAAATTTAGTTTCTTACTGCTATAAGCCTTTTGCAGATTTCATAATTGAAACAATTTTTCTGATATCATGTTAACCTTATCTAAGATATGTACCTATTCAGAAGTACTTCTAGAATTTCACTTAAAATTTAGTTTTTAGAGCACATTTCTCTTTTTCCCCCCTTATGATCTTTATAATATGTACTTCTCTAGTACATAAGGGAAAGGAACAGAACCTTTTTTTTCAATCATTTTTCCTTGTATGTGACAGGGATTTCTACAATATCTAGATGTTGTTCTTTGAGAAATACTTACTGTGGCAGTGTCATCTGGGGTTTCATGTTTATTACAAACACAAAGAACATCAGCATCTTTTGTTCTTGTCAATGCACTAAGTAGTTCCTTTTCTAGTCCCTTTTAATTTGGAAAAACATATTCATCTTTCTTTTCATTAAGGTTTTTTGATCCAACCAGCTAACTTCTCTATGCTGAAGTTCCTCTTTCCCTTTCACATGTCCTTACTACTTGTCATTTAAAAGTTTCCCCTCTTTGCTTTTTGATAAGTATATGTAATACTGTATCTTCAGTTCCCAGCAATTTATGATATAGAGCCAACCCTCCTGTATTCACACATCTTTCTGTGGCTTTTTTTCTTTTCTTTTTTTTTTTTAAGGTTTATTCATTCATTCATACAGAACTGGGGTACAGTCCAGAGGCACAGGGGTGGTAAGAAGATTCATCAGAGACAGAATGGGGAGCAGAACAGGCAGATTGACTAAGTACACTGTTGAGGGAGAGCCGAGGGCAGGTCAGGAGAGGTCTGTGCCATGTGAGTCAGCTCTGGGGCCCCAGGATCAAACTCTCACTGAAGCAGCGGTGGTTGCTCTTTAACCCACAGTGCCACCAGAGAGGGCTTCTGTGGCTGTTTTCTAACAGGCTTGTACTCCGTGTGTTATTATTGCTCAGTAGAACTCCACTCAGAGGGATGTTCCCAAATGTCACACAACCCTTGCCGCATCCTCAGCCTGGAGGAACTCTCTAGTGTTGGGGTCACCTGCCAGCTAGTGTGGTCTAATGTGTTCTCAGTGTCCTCTGTGGGAGATGGTACAGATATGCTTTCTTTTCCACCACCACTTCAAAGGCCCTTCAGAACACGTAACTCCATTTGTTCAAGTGTATTCTGATTGCTTATGTTGGCTCTCATTCCACATATGTGTCATTGATGCATTTTCCCACATGGCTTTACTGTTCATTTTGGAATGAGAGTTTGTCCTTTAGAAATAACAAAATTCCCTCTACGGTTGTCCTACATGATCACGGTACCTGCCAAGTGCATATGTTTGCGAATGCCTATGTGTGAGTGTGTAAATTTCAGAAATTGTAAAATCTGCATTAGGAGACCCATCAGTGATTTCTAGAAGTTATCCTGAAATGCTAATTAGCTCCTTTGTTTGTTCTACAGGGTTGGCATCCCCTACAGCCATAACCCCTGTAGCATCCCCTCTATACAGCAAAACGAGAGGCACAACGCCAGTTTCCAAACCCACAGAAGGTATGTCACCAAGGGACCCAGTATGCCAGTAGGTCGATAATCAGAAGCACCCTCAGTGATAGTCTTTCACTGATGGCTTCTCTTTGCCTAGATATTGAAGCAAGACCAGACATGCAGTTAGAGTCAGACTTGAAGCTGGACAGGCTGGAAACCTTCCTAAGAAGGCTGAATAATAAAGGTATGTCCCAGAAGCCAGGGAAAACTTTGTTTTCCATCCTTGCAGCATATTGTGAACCATGTACGTAGTTGAAAAAAACCTTAAAATTGCTTGCTTCTCTCTCAAAATCTGAGTCCCAGTCATGATTGCTCAATTAATTTTCTCTTCAACTCCCTTTTTTTTTTTTTCTATTTGACTTCAGTTCATACTATGTAAAGGTTATCTTTATTTTCATCTTTATAAAAATAAAGGTATTAGTCATGACTGGTTAGATTACCAAGCTATCATTCAATAAACAGTGTACTACAATGGTATCCCTAACTAACATTTATTTTTGTATCTAAACAATTAGATGTCATCCAGTCAGGAAAATGAATTCAGTAAATTTCTTTAACCCCAAAAGCAGATTATTATATAAAATCGCCATGGTCCTTGATCTGACAGACCAATAATGTAGTCGCTAATATTAGATATTATAATCACATGTGACCTTTAAAAGAAAGTTCTGGTAAACAAACATTAGATTAAACCCTTTAGTGAAAAAGTGAATGAAGTGTATATGAGAATAATATGCAGAAGTAGCCTCATTGATTAATAAAGATGTTCAGTACTTAAAGTATCAGTGTCTGAAGTCCCAACTATTAGACTATTGCCATAACCACCTAATAGTTTGAAAGTAATACAAATAAACCCTTTAGACCATAGATATAAAGGTATTATATAGCAATTGAACTGGCAATACAGTTTAAAGTTGATTACCTATGTTTACAGTTTAAAGTTGATTACGTATAAAGTGGATTACATGTACTTATAGGGCAATCTAGCTCAAGGTTAGAAAACTAACCCAGCTCTCACTTTTGTAAGTAAAGTTTTATTGGAATACAGTCATTGTTTTGTGAGTTAATATTTTGCACTACAAGAGCAGGGTTGAGTAGTTGCAACACAGACCTGCAATGCAAAACCTAAAATATTGAACATGGCTCTTGGCATAACTGCAAGTCCCGGATCTTGAGCCAGACTGAAGCTAGCTCTGCCTCCAGTTGAAAGATGACCAGAGTCAGAAGTGCTCAGTGGGGGTGTGCAGCCAGGAGAGGCTCCCTCTCTCCCATCATATCGTCACGCAAGAATTTTTCAGATGGTAAATCCTTTCATGAGAAGACAAAGTCTAGAAAGCACCTACAGACTCTTGGAGGTCACTGTTATGTTTTCTCCACTCCTGGAACTTACAGGAAAAATAATTTTTAAGGTATTAAGAGCTTATAGTTGCAGTAATCTTTTTACATATAGTAAATAGTAATGCTATTTATTTGCTTATTTGTTGATAGTTGGTGGGATGCAAGAAACCATACTCACCGTTACTGGTAAATCTGTTAAAGAAGTGATGAAGTTGGACGATGATGAAACCTTTGCCAAGTTTTACCGCAGCATGGATTATACTATGCCACGAAGTCCAGTGGAGCTAGACGAGGACTTTGATGTCATTTTCGATCCTTATGCACCCAAGTGAGTTCTCAGTTTCCTTTTTTTTTCTTTTTTAAGATTTATTTATTTATGGTGTGGCAGACCTCCCCTGACCCACCCGCTGCTCACCTCGGCAGTGTACTTCATCGATCTGCCTGTTCTGCTCCCAACCCTGTCTCTGGTGAATCCTTTCACTCCCCACACATCTGGCCTATAGTCCGGTTCTGTATGCATAATCGATGAAGGCAGATCAATGAAATACATTGCTGAGGGGAGCCACGGGCAGGTCAGGGGGAGTCTGCTGCACCATGTGGGTCACCTCCAGGGCGGGGATCGAACTTGCACCAAAGCAGCTGCAGCTAGCTTCATAGTACTGCATACTAACCCTTTGCACCACCAGGAAGGCCCAAGTCCATCTTTTGGCTCTGAAAAGGGATTCCTCTGTTGAGGAGGACTTCTATGAGGAGCTTCTCTTGTGCTTTTATCTTCTTCTGTGATACAACCTAAGGACACTAAATTGGGATTCTCTAGAGCCAGACTCATAGTGCCAAGAAAAGATAAAGCTTGCAGGCACCAGAGCAGACATGCAGTCAGAAAGAAACACTCTCTCACCATGCATGTTCCCCAAATGCTTTCCTCCTTTATTAAAAGTAATGTCACTGTGTTTTTCCACATAACTAAGATATTATTTTCAGGTCTTTAGATGAACATCCTTTAGTAGAGGTTCTATCTCTTTTTCCTTTGACATAATGTATTCTTACTCAATTTTGAAAAACATTTGGGTCACATAAGCACAAATTAATTCAACTAAAACTTCAGTACAATAAAGCATGCCCCCCCCCAACTAACAATAATTTATTAAATCAATAGATCAAAGTCTCTCTCTCCACACAGGAACATGAGTAAGAGATCTAAGAAAAGTGGCTCTGGTTATTAGGAACTCTTCTCCTGCAAGTGCAGATAAGAAATTTTGCATTCAGCAAAAGATAGTTGTAAGGAAAGTGAACTTTCATTCATTGAAATGTGCAATGAGAACTCTCGTGTTTCTCAAGACTTGTAAGCATGTGGTCTCTTTCAGCAGTTTTCTTTGGGTTGTTTGACTCCCAGTTGGAGTCACCATGTGTTAGATGGTGGCTACCCCAGCACAGGAAGCTTGTCTGCCTCCCACCCCAGCAAGAGTTCTCAGCTTGACTTTCATGGATCTGAGTCTCTCCCAGTCAGTTTTTCTGAGACTATCCTTGTGACCAAGGGAATGGAAGATTCCAATTGACCCAGCTGGTTTCTGGGTCTTCTCCAGAGCCAGGATCAGGGGTGAGGAGGGGAGTGAGGCAGTTCTCCTAAAGGGAAAACTAAAGTGCCATTCCCAGAGGCAGGGATATGTGGTATGTGCTGTGCATCATATATACCCACCTTGTACAAAACAGTCTTTTCCTGAAGTCTGTATAGTCTAAATTTTTCTTTAAGCTATGCCTAATGCATTTTTTTTGCATACTTCAATACATTCCTTTTTTTTTTTTTTTTTCAATTTGCTATCTTAAAAAATGAAAACCTTGCCATTTCCTACCTTTTAACATTTTGGTATTTGCACACATGGTTATAGAACCATTTCCTGTTCTTCTCCCCACTCTGATGTCATAGCTTCAGTCATGTATATAATTTAAGCATATCTTTGCATGTTTTCACAAATAGAGGGCAATGTTATTACACAGAGAGGACTGTGTGCATGGCATGGAGACGTGCAGTTAGCACGAAGAGTAGCAGCTGGGATCTGTTTTGAGTCATGACTGGATCTGTCCTCTTGCCCATGTCTGTTGTCTGCCCCAGACAGTTATGTGTGTGGCCATCATAGTTAGCTTTGTGGGCCTGCTTTGTTTCATTATATTCAACAAAATAGTGTTTTTATTTAAAGGGGACAGTAGGTTGAAAGGAGGCTACTTATGGCAGAGTTGATGAAAAACTACAATGTGAAAAGAAAACTTGGTCTAGAGGGAAGAAGATTAAAATGAAAAGCAATGACTATGAATTCTTGAAGGTTACTAATAGTCAAAGAAACAGACGTGTGTTATTCCAGAGGGAGAAGCGAGACGTGTGTGGGTGTGACGAGGACAGGGGACAGTGTTCCACCCTTCAGAGATGTCCAGTGGTAGAGCAAGTTGCCTCATTAGACACCAGAAACTCCTTTGGGTAGAGCTCAGAGCATGCGATCAGTGGGATTCTGGGATTGATGCGACTCTTGAACTAAACGAGCTTGACTCTCCCTTCCAGCTTTAAGATTCTGTGATCCCATGTCAGTGGTATGGTGGGAGAAAGTAGGGGTGATGGTGCCCAGACTGAGACCTGCTCTTCTCGGCTCCTCAGGTTGACATCTTCTGTGGCTGAGCACAAGCGTGCCGTTAGGCCCAAGCGCCGGGTTCAAGCTTCCAAGAATCCCCTGAAAATGCTGGCAGCACGAGACGATCTCCTTCAGGAATACACAGAACAGAGACTAAACGTTGCCTTCATGGAATCAAAGCGGATGAAAGTAGAAAAGAGTGAGTACTTGGAGCCACTGTGTTTGGGGACTGGCCTTGAGGTGATTTTGATCATCTCCCTTTTCCGCCTTGCAAAGGCCAGTCAACAGTGGTGCTCAAAAGACTCTCATTAACTAAAAATGAGTTAGCTTGCACACATACATGCATACCTATAGAAAACTAGCTTTTTTTTTAGAGGCTTTTCACAGAAAGACAGCATGGAGCATCTCTTGGCTTGGTTAATTCAAATTAGCCTGTTTCTGGCTTTGTAATTCAAACGGTATCCACTTCTGCAGGGCCCAGCACAGTAATTCTCCACTTAGTCTTATTCAAGTACCAACCATTTGATCATTCATGTCCCAATGCACTGCTGCTCCTAAGCCTAGATTCTTAATATTATTAACTAATGCAAAAGTCAGTGCTTTTCAAATTGTGTTTAACAGCAATCCCAACTCCGCATCCTTGAGTTGGACATGGCTGGGCAGAGTAGTGGAGGTGGGGTGTGGCCGTTAGTAGAGCGAGGAGGTAGCATTCAGGTTTCTGCCCCACCTCCAGATTAAGCTGCTCTGCTTTTGTAAGTATAAGAACGTGTGCTCCATTGTTCTAAAAGAGAGAATGGCATGCCTGATTATGCTAGTTTTAATATTCTTGCTGTAAGTTTTCTGTGCCTCTGGGACTCACATACCTATTTCCTAGAGTTTCTTATTGGACTATATGATGTAAGTGGAATGGTTGAGTCATTTTTTGTAACCATCACTAAGAAAGTGTTCCTCAAAGTTAACTATGCTGTATAAATTGTCAGGTAGTGTTATATTTCTTCAGTGTTAGACCCTAATCCCAGCAAAAACAGTTTTCTAAATTTTTTTAACATGTACATTTTTTAACACAATGAATTGGAGAAATAAAGCTTTATTGGCACCAATTTCAGCAATTTTTTCCTCTCTCCGCTTTTCAGTGACTCTGGGGTCAGCTTTGTGATGACAGGGGCATTTAAGTTTACTGCCCCACCCTGAAAACCCAGCATCCTATTATAATCCTGAATCTGAAAGCAAAGGATCTCAGGAGATCACCTAGTTCATTTCTGTCTTTAAGAAAAGATTAGAACTAAATCACTTCAAACAGAGTATAAAGACTTTTGGCAAAAGGCATCTAACAGTCTTCTCTGGAGACAGACATTTTAAGTATCTAAGCATTGTTAGGAATACAGCCATTCTCCGTGGAATTTCAACAAATGCATTTAGCTTCTGATTTTATACTAAAGTAGCTCTTGTTCCTGCATGATAAAATGTGACACATGTCAACAAGCACTTTATATTTGTAATACTGTGTTGAATTGTTAATATAGTGTTCGGCACTGAACTGCATAGCTAGTCAAACTTGAGCATGTTCTCCCCCTCAGGATTAACCCTGCAGAAAAAGGTAGTCGATAGTGAGGAATTTCTGATTGCAAACATTGCCATTTCATGTCATCTCACCTGAATATCTTTCCCCTACCCCCACTGTGTTGTTTCCTTATTCAACCTATCCAGTGTCCTCCAACTCCAACTTCTCAGAAGTTACTCTGGCAGGTTTAGCCAGTAAAGAAAATTTCAGCAACGTCAGCCTGCGGAGTGTCAACCTGACAGAACAGAATTCCAACAACAGCGCGGTGCCCTATAAGAAGCTGATGCTGTTACAGATCAAAGGTATTTAAGAGCAGTAGAAACGCATCACACCTTGACCAGGGGCTTTCCATCTATAACAGCAGGAGTCCTGATGCCTTTACTTGCTCTGAAGGTTCTGGGAGCCTGCTGTGTGCCAGGTGCTCCTACCTCCTTCCACGTAAGTCTCACAGAATCCTGTGAAGTAGAGAATGCGACACCCCCTTGAGGCTTACAGAGGTTAGGAATGTGTCTGAGGTCACAGCAGTTGCTGAGTGGAGAACTGGGAGTGAGCCCCGGTCTCTTCCCCTTACCCGGGGACCCCACCTCACCACCATCATGGAGTCCCTGGTACCCCGCAAGTCCTCCTAGTGTTTCTCTCCACTCAGTTCTCACTGAGGTAAGCAAGGCTCAATGCCGGCCAGTGGAAGAGACGCACATTCTTAGAGATGGAATTATGGGAAAGGAGACACAAATGAATCCCTTCCAGCACCTTGCTAGTATAGCAAGAGCCAATCCAAGAAGCATTAGCCTGTGAGGAGACCTAAAGCCTGCAAGTGGCATTAGCTTTGTTACTTTTCTTCTCACGCATCACCACCCATTAGATTTCCTCCACTTTTGCACCCGTCACCTACTGAGTTTCTCTCTGGTAACCCTCCTTCTTTTGTCAAAGTCCACAAGTCTGTTCTTAAATCTTTTTTTTTTTCCCCATTCATCTGCTTTCTTGTCTTATATTGCACAGAGGGCGAAATCATCTGCCTTTTGTCTTTCTCCTTTTTCCGCTTCATGTCATAGCTCAAGTTCCTTCCATTTCACTACCAATGACAAAACTTCACCTTTTTTTAGAGTTGAAAATATTCTGTTGTGTATACATACCACATCTTCTTTACCTGATCAGATAGTATTAATTCCCATCTATACCACTCCAGGTCTAGGGGATTAAAATAAATAGACAAGGCTTGCTAGGCTTGCAAGTGTGGGTAGCAGGGGTGCTCGTTTGGTGGGGGATGAGGCAGGGTTTCCTGACCTGCCTGTGGCCGAGAGTTCTTCTTCCCAGTTCCCAGGAAGACATGACTCTTCGTCTTGTGTCTAGGAAGAAGACATGTGCAGACCAGACTGGTTGAACCTCGAGCTTCGTCTCTCAACAGTGGGGACTGCTTCCTGCTGCTCTCTCCCCACTACTGCTTCCTGTGGGTAGGAGAGTTTGCAAATGTCATAGAAAAGGCAAAGGTTGGTATCTAAAAATAATTTAGTTCAGCATCCCCTTTACATGCCAATAGAATCTTACTACAAAGTTTCTCAAGTACTCAATGTTTCTTTCAGGAGAAAAGAAATGGGTAGCACTCATTTTTTCAAATATGCTTTCACTGGGTGCTGAAGCAGGCATTGTAAAGGGATTATGACCTATACCTTCAGTTTTTAAGTCCTGAGTTTAGTTTTTCTCCTATGTAAACTCACTTCAAAGTTGTTTACTTTAGGTCTCTATGAGATTCTACACAGACCTAGTCCATGAGAATCTCACAGGAAACAGCTCAGAGAATAGATACTTTCTAAGAGCTTAAGTGATCTGTTCAACTGGAAAATAAACTGTTTCTCCAAAGAACTATATGCCATTACCCTTCATTATATTTCCTTGACTTCGTTGAAATTACCCAGAAAATGGTGCCCTGTGGCCACAAGATTTTCCTTTCAATTGTGCCAGTTCTCTTCTTCAACTTTAACATGTGCCACCCAGCCCGGGTTTGTCTACCCAGGTAATTGTGTTCCTCCCTTTTTTAGGCCTCGGAACTTGCAACCTTAATTCAGACAAAGAGGGAACTTGGTTGTAGAGCTACTTATATCCAAACTATTGAAGAAGGAATTAACACACACACTCATGCAGCCAAAGACTTCTGGAAGCTTCTTGGTGGCCAAACCAGTTACCAATGTAAGGCTTTACTGCATTTCAGAGAATGAAAAGCCACTTCTAAACAAGCCACTTTTCAGTGTAAAACAGAACACTCTTATTATTCTTATCCCAAAGCTGCTGGAGACCCAAAAGAGGATGAACTGTATGAAACAGCCATAATAGAAACAAACTGCATTTACCGTCTGATAGATGACAAACTTGTTCCCGATGACGACTACTGGGGGAAAATCCCGAAATGCTCCCTCCTACAATCAAAAGAGGTACAGTGGTCCTCCCTGTACGGGTTAAAGCACAGCATTAAGAAGCTAAAGCCACTTCAGCATGAGTTCGATCCCCAGAGGTGATCACATGACATGGCAGACCTCTCCTGACCCACCCACTGCTCCCCCCTCCCAGCAGTGTACGTCATTGATCTGCCTTTTCTGCACCCCACTCTGTCTCTGGTGAATCCTCTCACTGCCCCCTGCGCCTCTGGCTTGTACCCCAGTTCTTTATATGTAAATAAATAAATCCTAAAAAAAAAAATCCTGAGCCTACACAAGGAATGCTCAGGGATGTCCATAGATAGATAGTAACCGCCCAGTAACAGGACCCAGTGTTAGTACCAATCTCAGAACACTGATATTTTGTCAAAGGATATTTACTTGTGATATCAAACTTTACTATCATCTTAATATAGAATCCAGAACAGGGTTCCAAAGAGGCTCAGTGAGTCTTTGAAGGCTTTTCCTGTTTGGGGTAAAATGTATATGTATCTCTGTGTGTGTGTTTGTATTTTTTCCCTTTTTTTGCATTTTTATGATATGATAGATGCTAATTAAATGCACGGTTTTCATTTCACAGTATGTGTAAGTCAAGTCACTATGCTTGCAGTTATCCCATTTACTTGCCATTTCCCAGGTACTGGTGTTTGATTTCGGTAGTGAAGTTTACGTGTGGCATGGAAAAGAAGTCACACTGGCACAACGGAAAGTAGCATTTCAGCTAGCCAAGCACTTATGGAATGGAACCTTTGACTACGAGAATTGTGACATCAACCCGCTGGACCCTGGTGAATGCAACCCGCTTATTCCCAGGTACTGAGCTAGAGGACAATGTGGCATGCACAGGTTCTCTTAGACCTAAGAGTCCTTGGCTGTGGCTTTTCATAGGCTTCTGTCCCCATAGACAGTGGCGAGCGGCACCATCAATAGTCACAAAAAGAACATTTCTTTAGCTTTCACCTAACCCAGAAGCAGAGGAGTCTTCTGGAAGCTGTTTGTATTAGATCTAATTTCCTGAAGTGAACAAATTGTTCCCACCTGCAGCATTCCAGGTGTTGTTGTGGCAAATGAGAATATATAATTGTTTAAATAAATTACATGCTGATCTAATAAGCTTCCCAGGGTCTGGAATTCGCTATTCATGCAAAGGTACAGAAGGAATGAATTTCCTTCACATGCCTCGCCTTCCCAGCACAGCTAGAATAGCAGGATTTATCCTTTACCTGACAGTAGATGACCTCTATAGCTTTTAAGGGAGGAGGAAGGGAGTATATGGTCTTGAGACCATGGTTGTAATTCTAATATTTCCTGCAGTGTGCTGGTTTTTTAAAGTAAGCAACTCAAACTTTGTACAAACACGAAAAATATGATGAGAAAAAATAATCCTTATGAACAAAGAATTACTATTGTGGGAAAATTTGAGTGGGTGAAGTACTTTTAAATTAGATGTTCCCTGTAACAGATTGGAAATAGCTGTGCCACCAAACAGCATTGAACAGCATTGTAATGTTTTCCATTAAATTAGTACACAAATTTTAGCTTTCCTATCTTGTTTCATGTTTGAAAATCAAAAATGTTTAGTATTAAATGTTATTTTAGAAAGTTAAAATTTATGTAACTAGGCCCTCCCTGGTGGCGCAGCGGGTTAAAGCACTGCACTGAGAAGCTTACGCCACTTCTGCATGAGTTCAAATCCCGATTACCCCAGAGGTGACCACATGGTGTGGCAGACCTCTTCTGACCTGCCCGCTGCTCCCCTCAGCAGTGTACTTCGTCGACCTGCCTTTTCTGCTCCCCACTCTGTCTCTGGTGGGTCCTCTCACCCTCCGCATCTCTGGCTGTACCCCAGTTCTGTATAAATAAATAAATCTTTAAAAAAAAATTATGTAACTACAGTGAAAAGCTTTCAACCCTTTATTTTACTTTTATTTTTATTTTAAGAGGACAGGTTTATTAGGAAAAGGAGAAAGAAATAGGGAGGCACTGCAGTCACAGGTAGACAGAAATTCAGGGAGAGTGTGAGCCTGGAGCATTGTCTGTGCACTAATTCCCCTTTATCACTGTCCAGAAAAAATGATTCTCTAAGATATTTTGAAAGAAGGAAGGCCACATTCATCTAACTTCCATTACAGTGTACTATAAGAGTTGTTCTGTTTTATTGTTAGTAGTTTATCTTTTACCATGCATAGCTTTTAAGTTAAACTTTATTATATGTATGTATAGGTGATAGCATCATATATATGGCATCCTGTACTATCCACAGCTTCCAGCCACTGGAGGTCTTGAAACACATATGCCACAGAAAAAAGAGGGAAGCTACTATACTGTGCTTTACCCTTCAGCCTTCTTTGAAAAAGGCAGCTACGTTTATATGCTTTAGCTGTGGTGTCAGAAAATGTAGTCTTAACTAAAGAGGCAGTGATGAAACAGGACCAACAAAGCAACACTCATTGGCTTGATGATACATAGCCATCCACCCGGTCCCAACCAATGAGAATACCTGCATTTTACCCTCAGGACTGAACTCTTTTTGCTATGGATTGCCTTAACTCTACTTTTTCCTAAGCTCCATCTTTTCTAAGCACAATTTCCAATTCTGAGATCCTAACACAGTGCCAGACCCCTGTGGGACTGAACCAGTTCTCCTCTGTGTCATCATGTGCTCTCTGACTGCTGTCATGTCCAGTGACCCAGAAATCAATACACAAAACTCCAATATAATGAAAGTTTATTCATTTTAGTAACTAGGGAGACTCTCCATCTACTGGAGAGCTTCTTGCAACATGAGTTACAGTGATAGAGAGCTGAGGCTAAGCTCCGTTTTACCCCGACCCTACATATCAAAATTTGCTAGAATGTAAGAATAGATTGTGGTTCAAATTACATTTAGGCACATCAACTTCATAGACACAGAGTCTTGCAAGGCTTAGGATTAAATAATACAACGTCAATTATTTGGTTAAATAAGTGAAAACACACCTTTCATCCTATATACTACTTACATATTCTGAGGATTTTTTTTCAATAACCACATGTATTTGTTTTAGATTCTTTTACTTTTGCATGACTTAATCTTGGTTCTTTTTTTGTCTACTCCTCTCATTCATCCCCCTCCCCTCACAGAAAAGGACAGGGGCGGCCTGATTGGGCAATATTTGGGAGACTTACAGAGCACAATGAGACTATTCTATTCAAAGAGAAATTTCTTGATTGGACTGAATTGAAGAGGCCTAATGAGAAGAACGTCAGCGAACTTGCCCAGCAGAAGGTATTCCCTTAATTAAGCCTTAAGTCTCAGGATTTGTTTGGAGCCCAGCCAAAATGATCTTGAAGTTAAAAGTGTTCCCAGGATTTACTAGTAGAATAGTAAGCAAATTCCCAAATGTATTCTAATTCTAGGAGGTGGAAATAGGCCTGTTTGTGCTTCTGAGTTTATAGCACCACATTCTGTTTTGGGAGACAAGTATTTAGGTCTCTATAAGGCTTCCCCATAAATGTGTCTTTCCCTACCTGCAACTAACGGTCTTGAGCAGGGGAAGGCTAACCCTGTACCTTGTCCCATTAATAGTAAAATCACATTAAGTATGACAACAAATGACTACAGAAGCATTGGCAACTGAACTAACATGTGTATGTTCTTGTAGGAAGATCCTAGGGCTGAAGTCAAGCCTTACGATGTGATGCAGATGGTACCAGTGCCCCAGACCACAGCGGGCACTGTGCTAGATGGGGTGAACGTTGGCCGTGGCTATGGCCTAGTGGAAGGGGATGACCGGAGGCAATTCGAGATTGCCAGTGTCTCTGTGGATGTCTGGCATATCCTTGAATTCGACTACAGCAGGCTTCCTAAACAGAGCATCGGGCAGTTCCATGAGGGGGATGCCTATGTGGTCAAGTGGAAGTTCATGGTGAGCACTGCAGGTTAGTGAGCATTATGTTCTCTTCAAGCTGAGACAGTCCCAGCCTGTGGGTGCTGGGGTTGCCCTCAGCTGTATAGATTCAGAGTACCATCTAGTCATTTGCTTTGAGAACTACTTAGTAAATCTTATGGATGAATTCCTAACAACCTAATATTGCTAACTTTTGTCATGTCTCCTGATAAAAATTAAACTTGCATGTTAAAGTTTCCCTGCTGTCATCTCTCCTGCCCACATCCTGTCCACAGAGGTTTTCTAAGTGGTGATTTGCCTTCAAATGATATTTACCATGTGGCTAGATGCTGCCTAAAGTCATTAAGTGAAGCATATCAGAGTGATTTAGAACTAAAACCAAATGGTATAGTAATGTTATAGTACATACATGCAACGGAAGATTTATTAAAAATAGAGGATGCTATTTCCTCTGAGAGTGAGAGCATGAACAGTTCTTTGTGGGTCTGGTAGAATAAATGCATAGTCAGACTTTATGGTTTCTGTCACATAAATACTCTATATAGCAAAACTCTCCTGTGTATGCTTTGCTCTGAGGCACTACAGGAAAAGAGTGAGTGAACTTGGGAAAGATAACCTCTTTTCCTTGCCAAGGAGCCATTATCCAAGTTATCCATAGCACCCCTTACCCCCCACCAATTTAAAAGAGAGTTTATGTCACTGGTCTTATTTCTAGACTCAACAAATAGCTCCTCGAGTTAAAGGTTAAAGAAGAGAATCTCTTCTCCGCGCAGCCCCCAGCATTCAGGTGTGGGCTGCCCCTGGGTCCAATGGGAGCAGTTTGCGATCAGCTACCTGCACACTTACACTATTTGGTTTCCTTCCTAATTTGTTAAAAATAAATAATAATCAACCGACAGCATTTACTACGCACCAAGCCTGTATGTAATCCTGTTCTGTATTTATGAAGCATACAATTCAATTGAGAATATGGTAGGAAAAAGTGACCACTTCTGCTGTTAAAGAAGCCCTCCACTCCCTGAAGTTTGATCTTGAGCAGTGGGGAAAGCACAGATTGGATGGCCAAGATTGGGCAGCCAGTGGATGCATGTCCTAGGTGGGGCAAGAAGGCTTCATGGGGAGGTAGTGTGTCCAGAGCTGTCCCTGTGAGCTGCAGGCCTAGAAACCTACTCTGGTTTTGTGATGCCCAGCACTAGGGCTCTGTGATTCACTCCACCTGACTCCTTCACTGCAGGTCCATGTGATATGTTTCATCTTGTCTTAAAGCTAATTTCTCAGCTGAGGAACTAGACACACAATGTAAATGATTAAGTGACCCACCTGACGTCACCCAACTAATAGAGTACAGAGCTACACATTAAGATGCAGGCCCACCCCTATGCAAAATCCAGTTGTGGTGCTAAATACCCTGCAGGCAGGGAGTCTGAATGTGTATAGGGATCCCCAAGTTACATTTAAGGAGGCACCCACAAGCCCAGTCCACAGGCACATGGAGAAGGTCAGGGTTGAATCAGCCATAAGGCCATGTGGAGGTTGGACTGAACACACCAAACCTCTAGAGCTTCTCAAATGACCATGAATAAGGATGGGCCTTTCAGGGTCTGGAGAGAGTTGTGGCTCTAGCCTCACCTTGCAGAGAATTGTGGGGTGTATCGCAAGTACCTCAGGAGGAACCAAATTTCTGTGTCTCTCATCTTAATTTCTTATGAATGATGGTTATAATCCCTTTCCCTTTCATAAAGAAATTGTGTGTCATGGAAGAAAGGCCGCAAGTCCTGGGACTATATAGCCTATAACTGAATCTTCCTTCAGGCCCTACAATATATGGCTTGGAGCCACGCAAGCCGGGAATAGTTACTTGTCCTATCTGAGCCTTGTTTTCTTTGTAGAAAATAGAAGTTCTCATACTTAGCTCACACATGAGTCTAATCTGGTGAGTAGAATGGTTAGCTGGCAATTGCTCACACGGCAGGTGCAGGATACAGTTGTCACTGACATTATCTGTGCCAACAACTTAATTACTGTATTTAAGTTGACAGTGAAATGATGTGGATCTATGCAAAATAATAGTACTTCCGAAGCGTCTTTATTGTATTATAGGTTTAAAGTCCTTTAATCTGATACAGGTCAGGTATACTGAAATAATAATCTGTGCTGCTGATTGAGAAAGACAGTAATTTGGAATTTAGTTAAGGGGGAATCTACTAACCCTTGTAGTTATGGAAGTAGGAACTTTAGGAAGCAACCTTTGAAGGCACCAGTGATTCCCATTCTTACTACAGAACTTGTTTTATACAACACAGAGAAGCATTGCAGTGTGAATTTATTTATTCCCTTCATAGTTGTCAGTTAAAAAAAGAAGTAACTGAATGAATAGTAAGTAAAGGATATTAAAATGAAATTTTCAAAGAAACCTAAGCTTTCCAAGGCCTTCATAGACTATTGTTTTTGGATCCCGCTAAGAAATGATTTGACCCAAGCAAATACTTTCTGTATTTCTTCCCAATAAACACAACATGCATCTCGGAACCAGATTCAGCAGCATCTTTATGAGCAGAGTTACAACTTTGAGAAAGTCCAGCTGCAGAGAATTAAATTAGAGCAGGGAACTTTCAGATCCCAGATCTCCCTTCTGGGAGCAGACAAGCACAGCTTGATGGCATCTGCAGTCACTCCACAGCCATCTCAGGAGCACTGGCCACTGGGAGACTGCTAGTCCCGCTCTCCATCACTCACACCCCACAACTGAGGTTAGCACCTGCTAACTGGCTGCATTCAGGGCTCGGCACCCTCTTCTGGGGCAGGGTTGCAGGAAGCAGCTGTAGAAATAGAGCAGCTGAGTTCTGGATAAATCTGGGTCTGACAGGCATGCAGAGAAGCGAGCTCCTTGGGAAGGAAACTTCCAAAGGTAGACTTGAGGCGTTGGGGGTCAGTGTCCAACCCCACTGGCCATCTCAGGCGCTGAAGGGCTTGGCCCAGTTCCCTGAAAGGTCAAGAAGCAAGTTGTTCCAGGGACACTACCCAATGATGCTGGGTCAGGTCACACCAGAGAGGGATACAGGTCAAGTTCCTTTAAATAGGTAGTGAACAAATGGTTTTTGTCAGCGAGACCACTTGCCTCTGAGCAGTTTATAGTTCAACATTCTATTACTCCTAAACACAGGTATTGGTATCAAAGTTACTTTTAGTAATGTTAGTGGTATGCTGCCTCAAGACTTTAGACATGTGTGATTACTGATGTAAAGATTATAGTCTATAAAAATAAGTAAATGATTAGAAATTAGTTGCATATGAAATTTATCTGGGTATAGTAAAGAAAATTGCAAGAAAAAATAGTGAAATGTCTAGCTTATAATTGCTTTTAAAGAAATCAACTCTGTTACATATATATACCCAAGTCCATTTCAATTTTGAAATGTAAACATTGAGTATTTAAGTGTGGAAATCTATTTACACAATGTATTTCAGTGCTAATTCCAAGATATGTTTTAACTGCTGTGATTTATTTTAAGCATATTTTTACCCAACTGACATTTCTAATTTTCATTGGAGAATGGAATTGCTAACCAAAGCAAACTTTTGTTCCAATCTAAAATACCAGAAATTTCAATTGAGAAGCTCCCATAGTAATTGTAGGTATTTATAATCTGTTGATTAAACTTGGTCCTCAATAGTGTGCACTAAAAGTCATGCTTAGTCAAAAAAAAAAACTAAAGAAATTATTTTAATCATTTCTGAAAATTGGTATAGGATCCTTTGCTTAAGTGCCAAAAATCAAAATATATGACCCCTTACTTATATATAAGTAAGGTTTCTCCTTTACTTCAAACCTCAAACGATGTGTAAGTTGATAAATGAATTAGAGCTGAGGAAAATTGAGATTACTTAGAACCAGAAGTCTAGTTATGAAATCAAATGGTTTTTAAGGTGTGTGGGCTACCTCTCTCCCCCCTTGTTAGCTCCCACCTACTGGAACCACTGGCATCTGAACACTAACTTGGTTCCCTGGCCTCACTCATTCTAGAAGGCTCTGCCTCCAGGCCCTTGTCACTGAGCCTCTCCTCACATTGCCTCCCACACCCTTCTTCCCCCCACCACACAGCAAAGTATTCCCTCAACAGGCAATCCCACCGGCACCCCACCCCACTGCACCCCATGGCTCTTTTCTCCTTAGCACTGACCTTCTCTGAAATTATCTTGCTCATCATCGTGTTGATTACAAAGAAGATAGGGAAATAGTCTGTCTTGCTTGTCCTTCTAGTGCCAGTACCCTGAAGAGTCCCTGGCACACAATAGTCGTTTGTTGAAATATTTTTGACTAATATATTAGGAATATTTTCAAGTATAGTTGAAATATTTTTGAGTGAGTAGGAAGGGGGATTCAGAACGAGCTATATCCCCGAAGGCAGTGATTTTGATGTCTGAAATGACCATTTGGACGATGAGATTCCACAGCTGCTCTCAAGAGATCCCTGCTCTGTGTGCTGCTAACATATCTCATTTATCAGCTGCCTTTGAGGTGCCAGATAATCCAGATAACCAGCCCTGAATCCTGGCTACAACCCTGGTGACAGATGTTATTTAAATCACAGATTGTTTTATGAAAGTGATATGTCAGCAATTTATCTCTTCCACTTCTGACAGAAATTCAAAGTGTTTTTTTTTTACTAGAATAGTTTTAACAGACCAGAATTTTTTCATTGTGTGTAAAGCTGGCCCAGCTGCTGTTCTCATATCTTTTTTCTACCAGCTAATCTTCTGCCAGAGAATGACATAATACGGAAAATGCATTTGCGTCTTTGGAAGCCATCGGTCCTCCCAGGTAGTTACCACTCCACATACCTGGAGTGATCTGCCACCTTCCTCTCAGATGACAGGTGCTTTTCTTAAGGTATCAAGAGGGTATTCAGATCATTTTTCTCCAGTTTGAAGGCTTAGGATCAGTTTGCCAAGAGAAAAGCAGTTTTTTCCTTGTCTTTCGGGATAATTTACATTACATTATTGTAATTTTCCTCCACAGGCCCCAAAGCTATTTCTTTACTGTTTCTCCTCGCAGGTCTTGGAGAAGTGAGCCACATATTTTTGCTCCTTTCTTTGGCTTACGGTCGCTTACCTGGCTCTCTGCTGTTCTGTGTTTGCAGTGGGAAGTCGTCAAAAGGGAGAACATTCTGTCCGAGTGACCGGCAAGGAGAAGTGTGTCTACTTCTTCTGGCAAGGCCGGCACTCAACTGTGAGTGAGAAGGGCACATCAGCCCTGATGACAGTGGAGCTGGATGAGGAACGGGGAGCCCAGGTAAGTCCAGGGAAACCTCTGTGTGGCTCCTGTCCTCTCCAGAAGCCACAGCCTGGGTCCCCTGCCGGCTCTCGAATGTGCACCAACAGCATCTTCCATAGCATTCCTGTCCTGCTCCCCTTCCCCAGTTTCAGGCTGTCCCTAGCATTTCCTGTCCCCACTGCTCCAAACAGGGATGCCTTCTGGTTGCCATAGATCTACCAGTGCGGGAAACCCATGGAACAAGTATAAATAAATAGCCAATTAATTTTTTTTTGGTTTCCACTTAACTAATAATCAAGGAATTACAATGAAAACAGAAATGCTATTTTTCTGCTTCAATTTGGAGCATCTTTTAAAAGAATGGGTCTAGACATGGTAAGAATTCCTTGGAAGGGTATCCTCATGTGTTCACCTTAAAATGGTCACGAACATGAACCTTGAGCAAATATTTCTCTTACAAGTATCTATTCCAAGGAAATATCAGATGAATGACATCCTCTTGTTTTGTTTACTTATTTACTAGCTGTCTTTCCTTAGGAGCCTGAGAAAGACCATGTCTGTCCCACTTGCTCACCTTTACAGCCCAGGGGCTACATACCTGCCTGGCTCGTTCCCCTGCCCAAATCCCAGATTTTGTAAATGTGACTTTTTAATATCTCAATTATTGATGCTGCAGGTACCAGTGACTAAGAATTGACTCTAGGGAGTTTGGAAATCTTGATGCTGCAGCCATATATTTTTACTGCCTTAGGTAATAGTTAGCAATACCATGAGGGAAGAAAGCCGGGGAATTTTTCTCTAAAAATAAACACTCAGCCTTTCAAATTCCTAAGACCCATTCTTCCCTAAAAAATACTTACTGCATATTTTCTACTATCGACTATAATTTACAAGTAGTTGTTAGTGGCCATTGCATTTTCATTCACTCCTAATAGTGGACAATTTCAACTGCCTTTTTTTTTTTTTGTAAAGCCTATCAATGAATGATTTAATATGCTGTCATAATCATCCTTAAAGTTTTGCATCTTAACCTCTATAATTTGAGCATTTCTTTTTTTTTTTTTTTTTAAATCAAATCAACAGCTGTCAAAGCATAAACTTAGCTACAGAGCAGCAGTTACTTATGCAAAATGGGCCCTGGCATTGATAAAATAACTTATGATGAGAAACGCCCTCCCTTACCTAGCCAGACTCAGGAAGCTTTCTTTCCAGGTGGAAGTAAGTTGACTCAGTCCCAGATTTATTGTGGGTGCAGCTAACACCTGAAGGAAGACAGTAGTTGACAGGCAGAGAAGTCTGTGCCCGGGAGGCACCTAATCCTTGAGGCAACTCTTGAAAATGTTCAGAGGTGACAGGTCTTTCTCTAGGTTTACTGTCAGTGGCCAATCATTCTCCATGCTGAGAAGTGTAAGTTGTTAAAAAGGTGTTTAAATCAATCATGTTACATCTATACAAGAGAAAACCATTAAAATATCAAAATTCATGTTTAAGAGAATATGCAGTGACAGAAAAGTGTTAAGAAAATCAAGAACACAAGCAGCAAAAAGCAAAAATCCTACTTTTATTTGGATAAAATAGATATACCCCAAAAAATACTTTGAAAAGAAAGCTATCTGCTAGAATTTTCATAGTGTTATCACTAGATAACAGGACTCGTACTAGCTTTTTGTTTGTATTTCTTGCTATTTTTCAGATTTTCTGTAATAGGTGGGTATTTTGATGACTTTGACACACCAGGATTGTGACACTTACTGTATTGTGTTTCAATTGGAAGGTCCAGGTTCTTCAGGGAAAGGAGCCCCCCTGTTTTCTGCAGTGTTTCCAGGGGGGGATGGTGGTACACTCAGGGAGACGGGAAGAGGAGGAAGAAAATACACAAAGTAAGTCACTTTTACTGTGGGAATTAGGGTTGTTATTTCCCCTTTCCTGGAAGGTATTTTTATAGGTGTAGTGGACCAAACTAAGTCTCTCTTCATTTAGCTGCAGCTTTACCACTGAAAACCTCCTAATGTTTGCCTTATAAAATCAGCTTATAGGGAGCTCATAAGCTGCCTCTTCCCGTGGTATTTACCTCAGAATCCAACTTTGCCTCGAGGAAGTTTCCTTCATCTTAAGCTGAAGCCTCACTGTGACTTTTAGGAGAAGGAGGAAAAAAAAAAATATACACACACACACAAACACACACACAAACACACACACATACATATATATTTATATATATTATATATATATTTTATATATATTATATATATATTTTATATATATATATATATGGATCCTCATTTATAAATTGTGAGTTTTTTTGTTGGCCACCATCCAGAAAATATATATGTATATTAGCTTTAGAGCCTTTCAAAATATGCCTGTTCAATACCTAGGTTTTTATAAATTTTGTTAAATTGTTGTTCTCCTTTGTGAACTTTTGGCAATCTGCTTCTAACTCCAAAAGGAATTGCTTTGTGGGCTGTCAGTAAGACAGGCCGCTGACTTCAGCACCAACTCAGCCTCCACCATCCCCATCAAGTCTGGCATCACGTGTGTGCTGCTGGCGGCCTGCCTCTCAGTGCCCCAGAACGGTGGGTGCCCTGGCTGAGCGGGCATCATAACTCTGTGCTGCTGTCGCCCCCTGCAGGTGAGTGGAGGCTGTACTGTGTGCGAGGAGAAGTGCCCATGGAAGGAAACTTGCTGGAAGTGGCCTGTCATTGTAGTAGCCTGCGGTCCCGAACGTCCATGGTGGTCCTGAACATAAATAAAGCCCTCATATACCTGTGGCATGGATGCAAAGCCCAATCCCACACAAAGGAGGTTGCAAGGACTGCAGCAAATAAAATCAAAGAACAGTGAGTGTTGTATATCTGAGGACCTCTTCCTCCCAGAGTGGCTTCCCTGTGGGAAGGCGGCAGAAATCCCCAAGAATCCTACTCAGTGCCTGGTGTGCTTTGACTGATTCCCACAAGGGAGCGTTATGAATGTCTTCAGGAGACTTTGACACTCTAGTAGACAGGACACAGTTTTCATCCAAAACCTCCAATTTGAGGCCTTCCCCTGCCTTCTTAGGATTTATTTCAGCATTTGAATCCTATGCCTAAAGTCTTTTGTTATTTAAAAAGAGCAAATTTCAATTATCTTTCAGGGGTTCAGCATTTTAACTTCCTCAGGAGTGTGGAATGTTAAACAGTAGCATGTAAAGAGCAGTTTGTAAAATAACCTACCTACCACAACAGAATCTAAATGACCCCATTTTGAGGAGCAGCCATATTCTACATTCTCCAAGGCAGCACTGAAGTCACCCCAGGGCAGTGCTGGGCATAGATAGTACACTAGGTCTGCTCCTCTCCTAGAGAGCCCCTAAAGTTGGCTACTTACAAAAGAACATGCGCTGGGATTCGGTATTAAGGGCTGACCTCAGGAAAGATGTCAAACTCTAAGTCAAAGAGAAGAGAAAGTGTAGAAGGGAGTTGCTATGGTGACCAATCACCTGCCCAGAGGGGGCAGCAGCGGTCACTCCGTGCTCCCCTGCAGTGCCTAATGGGCCTCCCGAGCTGCCAGGGAAACCCCAAGGTCATGTGGTTGTTCAGATGGGTGCTAAGTATTTCTTCAATCAGACCTGGGAACTTTCAGCAACATCCAGACAGTAAAGATGCAGTTTCCTGGGATCACAACATACTACCTAAGTGCAGTTTGGCAAAACCTGTTCTCTGAGCCCCAGAAGAGTGCAGTTTGCTTGCTCTGCTCCAAAGCCAGCTCATGTGCAGAAGGTAGCAGGGAGCACGAAGGCAACAGGTGGCCTCTGGACAGACAGACATCTGTGAAGGTAGATGTGTCCTCTCAGGACATCATTCTGGGTCTGGGCCTGGGGAGGAAGGACAGATGACATCCTGCGAGGTATCAGAGCCATTCATGTTCATCAGATTTTTTCTCTTGGACCATTGAAAAAAAACAATAAAACAAAGAAAAACTCATTCACTCATTCAAAAACATTATGGAAAACTTACTTGGTAGCACACAGCTCAGGAACTAGGAACTTGGTAGGGATTTGAATTCTGACAGTAGGGAAGGGCAAGGAGAAGCAAATATGTATGTGATGTGTAAATATGGATATCACCTCTCATGACATGTGATGTGTACTCGGTCCTCTCTGAGGGCCAAGCCAGTCCCACTACACACACAGTTCAAAACTACAGAGCATGTTTGCATTCTGTAAATCTTGTAAGTTTGTTAAGAACTGTTCGGTTAGAAAGTAGAAGAGAGATAGTGAACTGCTCTGTAGCTCAGCCTTGAATAATTTTGTGCTGCCTCTTCTAGAGTTTATTAAAAAAGTGCTGGACTTTCTCCCACACAGGTGTCCCCTGGAGGCAGGACTGCATAGTAGCAGCAAAGTGACAATCCATGAGTATGAGGAAGGAGCCGAGCCCCTGGGATTCTGGGATGCACTGGGAAGGAAAGACAGGAAAGCCTATGACTGCATGCTTCAAGGTAATCAGCTTCATTGCTTCAGTCTTTCGTCGTGTTAGTTGAGCACATAGTGTTGCACCCACAAAAATCAAATGCAGGATAGGTACCGAGGCCAGATACAAAGCTTTTGTATCATAAAAAGGGTACAGGTGAAGGAAGTTAATAATGTGGGATAAAACATTGCTTCTACCGGGGAAAACTACACAGGCTTCACAGAAGACAGGGCACTTACACAGTGCCTCAAGTTAGGTATACTTTAGGAGAAGGGAAGAAGAGAATTCCAGGATACCAGCTGAGGCATGTAAACCAATGTAAACCAATGGGACAAGATGCCTTCAGTTTGATCAGCACCCAGGGTGGAAGGAAGTAGTGGGAGGTCAAATTAGATGTACATCTGTCTTATTGAAGCACACAAAATCAAGATTAACTTGCACACTCACTATAAGAAGAAAAGCTAACTGTTATTAAGCCGTTGATGTAGTTGAAATAAATGCAGACCATTATTTTTGAAATGATTCACAATTACTACATAATAGAGAAAAGCTGGAAATAACTAAACACTGATATATATGAACTTATTTAACCCTCAGAACCCAACACCGAACCTTTTGTTACCAAAGAGAAAGGTGAGGCACAGAGAAGTTCATTGTTTTGCCCAGAGTTGAACAGCAACAGAGTTACACTTACCAGTTCCATTGGACAGGCTTTTGATTTTTCATAGCTTTATAGTTTTTTTTTTTCTTTTTGAATGATGTATATTGAGCATAGAAAATATTTGAAAGAGCAGCTCTTTCTCGGCTTATAATGAATTATGTCCCAATAAATCCATCATAAGTTGAAAAATACTGTAAGTGGAAACAAACTTTTAAGACGCCTGACCTACTGAGAGCAGAGTAGCCTCACCTGCCCTAAATGAGTTCAGAACACTCATATCAGCTTGTGGTTGATCAGGCCAGAAGCCTGTTTTCTGATAAAGTGTGGGTGGGCATTTAATTACAGGGTGAGATGTACAGAGCACAAGATCCAAAAGCCACTGACAACACTACACCGAAGGCTGGGCTCCCCTGGCGGTCATGTGAGCAGCTGGGAGCCCTTTGTCCAGCACCAGGAGAGAGTATTATGGCACATTGCCAGCACCGAAAAAGGTTAAAATTCAACCTAAAGATTTGACCAAGTGTATACCACTTTCACACCATTGTAAGGTCAAGAAGTCATCAGTGAAACCATGGTTAAGCAGGGCCCAGCTATACAAAGCAGTTAGAGAAGAAATTAATTCACTCATAATCATACCACTCAAAAATAGCCAGAAGTAACCTTTCTCTATGTTATAGATATCCTATTAAGAAAAAAATGGAGGCCCTCCCTGGTGGCACAGTGGGTTAAAGCACAGAACTGAGGAGCTAAAGCCACTTCTGCATGAGTTCGATTA